GAAGATGTACCGCAGCTGGAAGTGTGGCAGGAGTCTGTACATCTTGGAGATATGCCGTCACAAGCTGATCATTGTCCTGATAATAAGCAGGAGAATGAGACATCTCCGGCTGCCGCATGGCGGGCGAAGAATGGAAGGCAAGGAAAGTATATATGAGAAGTTTTGGTGGAGAAAGCCAAACAAGGGCCAACGAGAGATATTTCCACTCAAGTATGCGGCGGAAGGTGCACCAAAGTCGTACAGGAGTGCACACAAAGTAACCAAGACAAGTTCACCGCATGATGTCAAACGCAAGGGATCCAGAGCTCTCAAAGACACGGACGAAGCACTGATGACATGTATCTAAGGAAGGAAGGAGGGAAAGATGGTGATGAAAGGGGGAAGTGAGGGGAGACCAGTAGCAAGGGAGGAATGTAAATGGGGAGGGACAATGGGAGGAGCGGAGGATAGGAGAAGAGCCTTATAAGAGCGCCATAAAGACACAAGGGAAGTTACATGAGCGGAAACCCAAGAAACAGGAAGAAATGAAGGCTGTCTTGGGACCCTAGGAGGGGGGAAAAAAGGCGCTCTGCAGCGGAGAGAATCACTGCGTGAGCCTGCCTTTTTTGCGCCAAGACGCCCAGATGCCGAGACCCTTGGCATGGACGACGTCAAAGAACAGTCACATTATTATTTGACCAGGAGACTTGAGGAGTCATCCAGCGTGGCTGCGTGGAAGAGACAAGAGCCAAGGAAACCTGAGAGCGAAAGGGGAGAGGGCTGAAGGAAAGAGACTCCAGTCATGGTGGACGAGGGAAGTCAAATGGTTTCCGTCTCATATCGCCTTGTAAGGGGTCTCATCAGCAGACGAGTTCTTCACTACTAATAATTCTTCACCCTAATGATCTCTGTGCGAGGACCGAGATTTGTCATTTCTAAATTGAGGAAGAGATCTGTTTCGCGTTGTGTGTACGAAACAAGAGCCGAAGGCCCGCACGGCAGAAGCCAGAGTAACTTTCCCTAGGGAGTTTCCCTTTTGGGCGGGGAAGACGCGAAAATGTTGAGACACCGACACCTCCGAAGGCGCTAACGGTTTGGTACGGTATCAGGCTTACGACGACCAGAGGAAATGCCAAGCTGCCAAGGCACTGCGGGGGCTTTTTGTGGTACCCAAGAGGATATGGTTGGCTAGAAGCCCGTGAAAAGAGGGCCATGATCCGCGTTCGGAGGTGCCATCGCTGGCTTGGCAGCAGAATGGCCCGATCTTGTATGGTATCATGCGTACGCCGGATAGCCGGTTAGGATTTCCTGCATTTGGCAGAGCTCAGTAGGTAAGGTGTCTAGGTCGGCCACGATAAAAACTGCTTCAATTAATTGGTACTGACTACTGCACTCCGTTGGATCTTATGGGAATACAAGATAAACTACTCAATGACTCGACGTATCTTCTGTGATCCTGAATTTCGTCATTAGAGGACACATTACACAGAGATTAAAGCCGACCTCGGAAAGGAGGTCTCGACATGGAACTTTGCGCCGAGCCAGTCGCCCAGCCCTGCCGAGAGATTGCTGTGAAATACGAGAGTACATATCCAGCGACTGTGTCGCGGAAGCAGAAGCTGGTGCAACATGCTTTAGTTATCTGAATATCTTTAGGTAAGCGTACTATTGAGTTGTTGATCTCGCCGATCATACGGATGCATCGCCGAGGTTGCCAGCATATGATCTTCATCACCTCAACATAGAGCTGTTTTCTCCGCACAGCTTACCTGGACTTTGAAGTCTGGACTTGAGCTGCAATCTCTCGGGGTCTCTGGAACATATCGCTCCACGAAACATCCCATCAGCCACTTCGGGCGATATCGCTCCCAGAACGACCTCGCAATTGAGAATGTTTCATCCACATGGCATGGCGATTCACCGCAGGCAAAGGGTGGCCTGAGCTTGCCTGAGCTGGCATAGATGTGCATAATCATGTGAAACCCTTTCCTCCTCTAGTCTGGGCACTTTGCGAGTGTTGGGTCGTTACTTTCACGGCGGCCGAACCATTCTTGGCTTCTCCAATCAATTCGACGGTGAGACAACGGCGATGGTGCCTATCTATTCGGTGTATCTGCTCTCCTTGCTCGAGAGCAAATGCGAGCCCATTCAGGCTAATGGGACCCCTGCAGGTGGCTGTTTTGCGTGGTTTTTTGGCGATTTAAAGCCGGACTGGGCTGTAAGTCGCCTAGGCACGTCGGAATCTGCCGCCTGGATATCCGGAGATACATTCCCGGCTTGCCAGGTTTCTATCCAGTCAGCTCTGTGTGAACAGATGGTCAGTATCTATCTTCATATATATATCCTTATATATATGCTATGTTGATTAGAGCTTCCTTTTTCGCGGGTGTAAATCTCTCAATATTCAAGTGGACTCTTGGTGCGTCGTGATACCGTCGATTCTTCATTAAACTCATCGATCTAGTACAATACATATACCTGTATGAAATCAGCGTTTATAGCCAAACCATACCCTATGATCCTGTCTGTAAGTAGAACAATGTCCACAGAACCCACTCGGAATTCTTGTGGTCAAGGAGCGCAACGACCATACTTCAGCCAGCGTAGAAGTTCCTGCGCTAGCCACGTCAGTCCTCAACGGCAACTCTTGACGCGGGAATGATTAGGTTTAGTCAACTATGTTTAGTCGAAATACGGATTCATTACATCCAGAGATCAAGAATGTATCTTGAACGACTGTACTGGAGCTGACGTAGTGAAGAGACAGCGGCACTCTCTCTCTCTCTCTGAAGTCTCATTAATGCGAGGTAGTATCCCCTCTCGACCAAGTTCAAGAAAGTTCACAAATATGTCAACACTATGCCTAGAGCATTTAGTTCTACATTGCTGCCTTCTACTTCACCTTTTGCTGATTGAACATACACAGAATCGCAGGCAGAGAGGCCACTGCTCTCAGGAGCTTAAGACATCCTGGCTATGGATGACAGCAACCAACTCAAAGCTTAGCCAAAGCACAGCAACTCCTCTACTGACTATTTTGTTCAATGATTGCTTGCCTGTCTGTCTAACCGACCATGAGCATCGCAAAAGCTATGGGGTCGGAGTATAAGTCCAACTCCGTGGTGCAAGCATTAGCATATCATAGGATAGCAGAGGGCACATTAACCATGACCGCAAAGACTTCAGCAGCGACCAGATGGAAGGACATGGGTTGCTCCTTTCTGTCTGACGAATCCTGCATTGAGTGTTTATGGTACCAGCCAGTATGATGTTTTTGAAGGTGCATGTCGTCGCACGTTCAACTCAGCTTGAAAAGTTCATGTGGCTTCTAGCCTCCTTTTCGCTATAGATTGACGAGCTGTGATAGCAGCCGTCGTTTGTGGCATATGTAAGAGAAAGAGCATCCGCACAATACAGTGAGATGGCTCAGTCTGACCTCGTTTCCAGAGCCATACTGCATCAGCTTCAGGCGTGTCTTTGTCGATGCCCTCGACCCCGTCCTCGAGAAGAGTAATCGTGGCCCTTGGCCCCGGAGACAATATCTACAAAGGCCTACGGTACACTGTAAGCTGGCCAATTCTCCAGTCGAGCCCACTGGTTACTGAGGAACTGGCGTAGCATGGTAGATGCCTCTGGCGGAAGCGGAAGTCATATGACCATTGCCTCAGCAGGTCACCCCAAACAAGTTATGATCGCCGTTGATCTCGGCAATGCTAGATGCTCGTCCGTTCAATGCACGCTCGGGGAGTTAAGGTAATGTCAGGGCTGGCTTCTGGGTGATCGTCTGATCTATCGGATCGCCCTTCTCAAGGCATGTAAGGCGTTGTTCGTGATTAGGGGCGTCGCTCCTCAAAGTCCTTTTGTCTCTGCACTGATCACATGGAACTGAATTCCTTCATTAGTATCTCAGCTTGAGTCAAGATATTGCCTTTCTCTCAATTGCCTTTTTCTTGTGCATTCAGATAACTGCTTGGTGTCATTTTGAATTCATTGCAGATACCTCTCGTGAGATCCGAGAAGTGTAGATAAAGCTGTGCATAAGGGTAAGGTTACTGGTGTTTCAAGGACAGGCTTAACTGTAGGATACATATAAGAAAGCAACTTTATATTAGCCAAGCTGTGCCTATGTAAGTGTCAGAATATACTATAACTGCCACAAGCCAAAGAAATCAAGTCTGACATCACAAAATTATATACACCTGTATCTCATGACATATGGGGTAAAAAAGACTGCAAATAATGATTAAAAACCCTTAAAGTAAATGCCATTATGCAAAATGTCAGTTGTCTAGACCACCATTTGAAGCCGATGCCGCCACGCAAGGTGGTCCCGCAAGGCTCAAGCAGTGAAAGTACGCCTGGGCCATGCGCTATACTAACCGAGTCCAGGAACCGAATTATTGCTACAAATGAACTACCTATTTACTTCTAGTTAGATCCCTAGACGTATCACCCATGTACTTGTTACTCAGAGTTGATAAGCAAAATAGTGATCGAGGGAATGTCGGTCTAGGTGACTGTAGACTATGGCGCTGTGGCACATTTGATGGCGCTCTCTAGGCCAGATTCCTTCCGCCCATCAGGCTGGCGGCTATCCAATCAACGAACAATATTGTTAGCCTTAGATTTCCTGATTCTGTGATGTCTGCATGTTGGAAAAGTATCATCTGGAAAGTGGGAAAAAGGGAAAAGAGACCTAGCGAGTTAATCTGCACACTGCATCCTGTCGTGTAACCTGTAGGCTGTAGAACTGGACAGGAATCATATTGACAGCTGGATCTGTCTTTGTCCTTTTCCTCCTCTTTCCCCCCCTCCATTGTTGGCTTTGCCTTGATCGGCATTATTCGTTAATTGATTCCTTTCAAACCTTATTATCTTGCTGCTACTTACTCCTTGTGTTAAGGTAACTAGTGGCCAAGGTTTGTTTGTTCAGTAGTTGTTGACAATTCAGTACATAAGGCGATCGACGCAAACGGGCGTCATTATATTGTAGATCTTCCTCATCTGCATTATTGCTCTTTGTTGACTTACATAGGTAAGCCATGGAGGAGCTAGGATAGAACCTTGCCTTCTACAGATTAAAGTAGAATGGAGATGCTTGGACTGTCACTCCAGGGGTATCATAACATAACTATGTGCAAGTATCCACATGCCAGCCTATCTTGCACACATTGTTTATGTTGACGCCTTGATCTGGACGCCATGTTTCAGATCAGACATGTCTTGATCAAGTACTCCGCACCGAAAGGTTATGTAAAAGTAGAGCTAGACCATAGGCATAAAATCCCTGCCCACCATGACCTACTTAGATCCCCCATATCCTCATGGATCCTTTGGCTTTGGAGCGCAGTCTATGGTACTTCTGTGATGACAACTCAAAGTCTGGATCTACCACAATTAAATGTCGTCATGCCAGTCTCAGGGATGAATTATGGAGTTATGGGGAATGGGGGAGTGCCCGCAGTGATCATCGTGGTTGTCCCTCGATCCCTTGCTTGTATTATGGCTATATTGCTTTTGGGTAATTCTCCGCCAGCAAGGGCAGCCGCCCGATTTTGTGCGCAGAATTATTGAAAACAACCTGGAACATTCCGTACTTTGTTCGGGCCAAGGCTGTCTTTCAAATGTCGAAAAGACGGGAGTCTCTATTGGTATATCAAGAATTATTTATCAACTTCAAACTGACTTCAAAAAAGAGAAAGAGCGGTCTACTTGTTGCTCTGCGAGTACTGTATTTTGGTTGTGCGAGAACTGGCACTTTTATCACTATTGACTATATACACCCCTGAGGGGTCAAAAGAGTAAGTGCTTTGGAGAGGGGAGGGCAAAGCCCAAAATGAGTAAATAACGATCGGAGATTGGTGGTCGAGCCAAGTGATGTATCCTGCATCAAGAAACGGAGGCCCTAGGAAGGCTCCAAGAGAAGCCGGCGACTGATCAGAATTTCGGCCGGGAATGGCTCCACAATCTGGAATGTGTGGACGTAAGTGATCTAGGAAAGCACATCTGCGGCAAGTGCATCACTGCATCAGGCATGTGGCTGTGGCCCTGTGGCCCTGTGGGCTGCTTGGTGGCTGGTGCTGACGGTTCTTCCAGGCAAGCGGTTGCTGTGGAGCTGCAGCAAGCTTGGTGACAATGAATGACGGGAGGGGCAAAAGGGGAATGGGGGTTTGGAAAAACACCGTCTTCGGATGGCCTGGAAAGTATAATAATGAACTAATGGGATTGCTTTCCTCGAATAATTTTGGTGAGCTGGAAATACGAAATGGGACACTCGAGCCAAATACTACCCGACTGTACCCCTTTCCCTTCATACCTGCAGCTACCGGTGAAAGTTTGCACGCAGATCAGCTTGACAGATGGCAAAAACTGCACCCTTGTCACCTTATGAGTGCTTCTTGTAGAAAATGAAGAAAGGACGGCCAAACTGGATAATGATTAAGTCTGATTGTTATTGACCTGAAATATGGGCCTGACCAGTGTAGGTTTGTGGGAGACCTAACTCGGGTTGTGAGTTGTGACTCGGCTCAATAGGCTATGGGTAAGGTACTAGCCACTAGGTATGTGAGGATGTGACTGGATCACCAGCCTTGGCTGTTGTAGTACAGAGATCTCTGCAACTTGTCAAATACATAAATGTATTTAGTCCGCATACCAATCCCATAAGATGGGAAGGTTTTTTCTTTCTTTCCTTTTTTTTTTTCCCTCTTCGAATTATTGTTACCGTGATATTTTTTATTGATGGAGGGGGCCGACGGGGCCGGTGCAAGCCTACTCTGCAACATTGTGCAGGTGGACAGGGAGTGGAGTACCTATTACTGCGTACTCCGTAGATACGCCGCATGCCTGACTAGGGCTGCCCGGGAGCTTAGGCTATTGAGCTTATGACCATTCGCCAGTCATTTACGGGGTTCGGGTCCCACCGGCCCCAACCAAAGAGCATGGGCGGCTCCGTAATAATGACGCACTAAGAATTTTTTTTATATTTTTAAATCAATAAGAAAAAAAGAAAAAAGAAAAAAAGTGGCCAAACTCAATTAAATTAGTTACAACAACTAATTTCATGGCACGGGGAAGAGATAGTGGATCCCTCTCCCATGGTCCACCAGGCCCCCGGCGAGTCACAACCGGGGGTTCGTGCTAGACCTTCCACATCACGGCAGTGCGTCGCTGATTCTGGCGCTTGCAGTCGCCAAATCAGTGACATGCCTTCGAGGTCTGACTCTGGGACTCTGTAACACTCCACTGTCTAATAAATATCCACAAATTCATAAATTAATACTTATGATGTGCTCCAAAATTTTTGTTTTCTTACTACAGAGTAGCTTGGCTGTTAAACATGTAATCTTCTACTTGATGATCACACCTTTCACTCTACTCATGCTTTTGCCAGCGCTCAAGACGGTCTAGGTCTTTGAGACTACTCCGTACTCATAACGGATTGCCCTCTCAATCGACTGTTTCAGATTTCAGAATCCCGCTCAGGGTCAGTCACTGTAACTTGCTAAGTTGCTAAGGTACTAGCCTGCTATTTCTTAGTACAGGGATGGTACGGAGTAGCTTACCCTATTATTAGTTGTGTTACTGGCTGAGCCCCGCTTGCCAACCCGGTACTAGCTACTAAGCCTCCTATCTGTCAACTCTGTCTGACGGACAGTCGCACATGCACACAGCAGAAAGGCAGTAGTAGTATTTTGGCCTTTAATCTCCATTCTACAGAGAATGAGAATCATAAGTTCAAGAATAACCGGATTTATTTAGGGAGACCTTTGTGACAAAAACAAAAAGATTCAGCTCCGTTTTGAGTATCCGGACACGGTAGGCTTAATCCTTAATAAAGCTTAAGAGTGGTGACGCCATCAGTCAAGAACTTAAGTTACTCTGAGATATCGCCAGGGACTATAAAAGATATTTATCAGTAACACATATTCCTTCCTAATATTTATCCTATTTTGTCGATTATTGTGTACTGGTAAAAGTAGGGTGGGAAACAGGCACTGGGACGACTGCGCCGTTTTCACCACAATCGTCCCAACTTCCGGCGCACGGAAAATATTAAACTGTAAATACCCGCAGACACGACTCCAGATTGTCTCCACCGGGCTAGGCCTTTCCTGGACGTCAAGCTGCTGTCTTTGGCTTGGCGCCGGACGACCGCCATCTCGCCTTTTCTGCTTTCTTTGCTTCCTAATTTGCTCGAGAGCTACACAACCACTAGCACGGCTTGGCAGAATTTGACCCTCTTACCACCAGCCCCTCGGCCTTTCCCTCTCTCTTCTCTCTCTTCTTCTCTTCTCCCTTCTGCTTATTGCTCCCGCCTCTTGCTTGTTTTTTTGGCCCTTTTTCCTCTGCGCATCATCCCTTTCCCCACTCACTGACTCTTATCCCCTTCTTGTCTACCTCATCCTGTTTGGTTTCGCACTTCAATTCTCCCTTTCTTCTCGTGCTTCTCCGTTTCGCCGTTGCTGTTCTCGCCTCATTGGCGCCGCTCAGCCGCATCTCAACTCTCCTCGTTGCGGCTGGTAGCGCTGTAGTACGGCAGCTCTCTATCATTGGAGTTTCTGCCAAATCTTTTTTTTCTCTTTAAGGAAAGTGACGGGACTTGTTCCTTCAATCGGTCGCATCGTTCAACCGAGAAACTGTCATTCCCTTCATCCGGATTCCTCAAATCGGGGTTCTTCGCACCTGTTGGCGAGATAGTTTTCAAGTCATCTGATAGAGAACACATTTACTTCGCATATCATCGCAATCGCACCGAAATCGCCAACTGTGCAACGTTCCAGTAACACGAACATCGATTGCATCATCGTGTCGCAAGGTTTATGGGATACAAAGTCACAGAAGTGTCTTAGCCTCTTTCTGTTGCGATTTCGAATAGTCTCTTCGCCAGCAGAATGGCTCACACTCAGCCGTCGCCTACTGGGGGCGTAGCTCCTCACCATGGCCATCTTGCAGCCCACCCGCAAGTCAATGGACATATGCCGCTGCAGTCTCAAGGTCAGAAGGGTCCTCCTCTGACTACTGCCCAGAAGATCGCAGCGCTTAATGAACAGGTCTGGCTTCAAATTGGTATGTTACTCGTCATCGTCGCCGTTAGAAGGTGTTCCGCCTCTGTTCCGAACTCTGTTTTGCTGACTTGCCGTCTTTGCGCAATTATAGGTAGTCTTACTGAATTGATGGGCGATCTTGATGGTGCCATGAACGCTTATGAGCAAGCGCTTCGCCACAACCAATGGTCAATCCCTGCTATGAACGCCATATCCTGCATCCTCCGGACCAAGGAACAATTTCCGAAGGCGATCGAGTACCTTCAGAACATCCTCAAATTAGACCCGACGAGTGGAGAAACTTGGGGTAGTTTAGGTAATTAGGAGCCCTCTCAAGATCTTTGTTTGTTTGCTGTCCCATCACGGTGACTGACAGATCTTGCAGGTCATTGCCATCTAATGATGGATAATCTGCAGGAAGCTTATACTTCTTACCAGCAGGCGTTATATCACCTGCGTGACCCCAAGGTTCGAGATTTCTCCTACACTCTTTCGCTTTACAAAGCTAACCGCAGCGTTCCGACAGGAACCCAAACTCTGGTACGGAATTGGTATCTTATATGATCGCTATGGCTCCCTTGACCATGCCGAGGAGGCTTTCTCTCAAGTCATGCGGATGGCTCCCGACTTTGAGAAGGCCAATGAAATCTACTTCAGACTCGGCATCATATACAAACAACAACAAAAGTTCAACCAGAGCTTAGAGGTACGTTCATCGGTCTCTTCTCTATATGTAGCCTCTTTTGCTTACTGCAATTTCAGTGCTTCAAATACATTGTCAGCGACCCCCCTCGTCCTCTTACAGAGGAAGATATCTGGTTCCAGATTGGCCACGTCCATGAACAACAGAAGGACGTAAGTTGTCTCGCATTCTCATTTGGCTGCTCATATATAGGCTGACAACATTACAGTTTGACTCGGCTCAGGCAGCCTATAGGAGGGTCCTAGACCGTGATCCTAACCATGCAAAAGTACTTCAACAACTCGGTTGGCTTTACCATCAGCAAAGCAACAGCTATGCTAGTCAAGAAAAGGCCATTGAATACCTTGAAAAATCTGTTAGCGCAGGTAAGTTGTCAGCTCATGTCCTCGACCCAGGGCAAGCGCTAACAAGCCTTGCCCTTTTTTAGACAACAGCGACGCACAAAGCTGGTACCTTCTTGGTCGTTGCTACATGTCGCAAGCCAAGTATCCCAAGGCGTACGAAGCATATCAACAGGCTGTCTACCGTGATGGACGCAACCCGACTTTCTGGTGTTCGATTGGTGTTTTGTACTATCAGATCAACCAGTATCGCGATGCTTTGGACGCTTACTCTCGTGCAATCCGCCTGAATCCTTACATCTCGGAGGTGTGGTACGACCTGGGAACTCTGGTAAGTCAAGTTGCGGGGAGTTTGATTGGGGAAAAACGCGCGAGAGACCGAAGTCGCTGACTACCGCTCTTGTAGTATGAGTCCTGCAACAACCAGATTGCGGATGCTCTTGACGCTTATGGTCGCGCCGCCGATCTTGATCCTACGAATGTTCACATCAAGGCTCGTTTGCAACTGCTGCAAAGCCAGCTCTCAGGCTCCAACCAGAACAGCGCTCCTGCGCCCGCTCCTCAACCTCAGGACGTTCATCCACAGGCTTACCAGGCTCCTGGTGTGGGCGCTCCTCCAGCTCCACAGTGGGGAGCGCCAGCTCCAACTGGAGGCCCGCCTCCCCAGCCTCCCGCTCCTCCAAGGCAGATCGCCGACTGGAATCGCGGCATCAACGAAGTGCAATCTCAGAATCAGGCGCAGCCCCCGCCAGCCAACGGTTTCGATCACCGTGACCAAGTTCGGGGACCGGTCGCTCTTCAGCAGCCAAGCCCACGACAAGAGCCGGGTAGGGCATTCCCTGATGGTGTCCGTGCTCCAGCAGCTCGTTCTCCAAAGACCACGGTTGGGGGCCCTGGTGCATTTGCACCTGCACACGCATTACCCCAACTGCCCAACCCACCACCGCCGCCACATGATCGAGCTCCCGCCGGTACTACTCCTTTCAGCTCTGCTACTCGCGGAACCTTGCCGCCCGCTCCTACTTCTGCTGCACCCCCCACAGGCCCAAGTGGGCCTAACGGTGCCCCTGCTTCTGCTGGACCTCTGCCACCATACCCTCGCCCATTCACCCCGCCGACAGAGATCCGTCCCATTCGCGAGGAGAGACCATCATCACCCGGTTCTACCTACCCTCATCAGCAGTATCATCATGGCCCGAGCGTGCCAATTCAGGGGGCTAGTAGCACTGGCATCGCAGGTGGTGCCCCTGCTCCAGCCTCTGCGATCACTGCTGCCGAAGCCGCTGCACGAGAACGTGAAGATCGCCCAACCTCGGCAATGAAGCGGGGTCGGGAATGGGAAGGGGAGTCGGGCCCTTCAAAGAAGGTTGCCAATGAGGAAACCCGCGTCCGCTTGGATGATCAGGTTGCTCGCCGCGTAACGCCTCCGAACCGCATGCCGTCGCCTGGCGAGATGCAGCGTCGTGGTTCCTCGGAGGCGCGACGCGAGGACCAGCGCCGCGTGAACGAGAGCTACCACCCATCAGAGGCTGCTCACCATCCTCCAACCCTCCCATCCATCCAGCACATGCCTCAACACGCGACCGGTTCGAGCCTCCCTCCCATGAACGAAGGCCCTGCTCCGGCTTCCAACGGGCCTCAGGCAGGTGCTCCATCAGCCCAGGTGCAGGTGAAGGAAGAACCGGCTCGCAGTGAGCAAGTCCCAGCCCATGAGCCTGCTGCGCGTAAGATGGACGTCGATGAGAACTACGATGATGATGGAGATGACGAGAAGAGAACCAGCACTGCCGCTAAGGGCAGTCCTGCTGCCGGTAGCAGCAGCAGCAACGGGGTGCTGAGCAGTGGCGCCCAGACTTCCCAGTCGAAACAGGAGTCTGCAGCCTAAGCACATGATCCTCTCTCGTCCACGTAGCTCATCTGATGATTGCAAGGTGGCGCTGTACAAGCGACATGTCTCCGAAGAAGTCTATTATGAACATTCTTTCGTACCTTCGTTTACCCTTCAAAGTCCCCCTTTCCTTTCTTCTTTATGGTTCTCCTTTCCGGTGGCATTCACGCTAGCTGTTACTTACGCATTCAAGTCTGTACTCTATGGAAGCCATCGGTGTCGTAGTTACGAGGAACTATTACTTGTTTACGTCCTCTTTTGTACCCGTCTTTTGAGCCCCCCTTTGTCCTGATATCTTCTCTCATCTCCATTACCCTTCAATTTCCCTGTGCATGATTCAGAACTCTTCTTTCAGAAATGACAATATCTTTCTTCAGAACATGAATTTTGTTTCTGGTATTGGGTTGAATGAGTTGACTTGTTGTAGACGCAGCTTTGTATTCTTGAAAGAAGTGGGAAATTCGATATGGTAGGTAGTTGCAAGTAGTTGAATCAAGTAAAATTCGATGCTACGACATTTCTTCTCTCCATAGTACCCTCCTCGGTCATATAACTAAGGAAGTTGGGTAGGCTGTACCATGCTGAGATAAGTGCCATTATATGTCGAGTTTTGCCCATGGGCATAGCAGGTATGGAGTATGCAGAAGAGGACAAGGTCAGGGCAAAATGTGCCTCAGGCAGTAATGTGCGGGTTTGCAGTGCCTTAGTCACCACAGGGTCGCTTATCCGCAAGAGGAAATGTGTCGCCAAGACTTCGCTTAGGTCAGCCCACATTCGTTAACCGTGCAAAATAACGACCTTCGGCAAACTTAGAGATAGACACTCTCACTCACCACTTCGACGACTAACGACAACAGGGTCAAGATGTAAGTTTTGCGCTCGAATACAGATCAATTAAAATGTTAAAGAACAGAATCGCTGATTTTATATTTTTTTCAGGAGTCACCGGAAGTACGAAGCGCCTCGGCACGGTTCGTCAACCTCGTTTTCCTCCTTCGATTGCCTCGAAATTTCTGCGCTCTGTGTGTGTGCGATATACTGACCAACGTCCTCACAGGCTCTCTTGCCTTCCTGCCGCGCAAGCGCGCTGCTAGACACCGTGGAAAGGTCAAGAGGTTAGTTTAGCCGCTATAATTTTCAATCTCGAGATCAAAAAAAAAAAGACAGTATGCTGAGTGTGCGACAGCTTCCCCAAGGATGACCCCAAGAAGCCCGTCCACCTGACGGCCTCCATGGGTTACAAGGCCGGTATGACCACCGTCGTCCGTGACCTTGACAGACCCGGTGCCAAGATGCACAAGAAGGAGATTGTTGAGGCTGTTACCATCATCGAGACTCCTCCTGTATGTCCATTGACCCAAGGATTTGGTTGGTTACGAAACTGGGCGGTCACTTACACTTTATTTCTCTATAGCTTGTTGCTGTCGGTGTTGTCGGTTACATCGAGACTCCCCGTGGTCTCCGCTCGCTCACCACTGTCTGGGCTGAGCACCTGAGCGATGAGGTCAAGCGCCGCTTCTACAAGAACTGGTACAAGAGCAAGAAGAAGGCCTTCACCAAGTACGCCAAGAAGCACGCTGAGGAGAGCGGTGCCTCCATCACCCGTGAGCTTGAGCGCATCAAGAAGTACTGCACTGTCGTCCGTGTCCTCGCCCACACCCAGGTCCGCAAGACCCCTCTCAAGCAGAAGAAGGCCCACTTGATGGAGATCCAGGTCAACGGTGGCTCCGTTGCCGACAAGGTTGACTTCGCCCGCAACCTGTTCGAGAAGCCCATTGAGATCGACAGCATCTTCGAGAAGGATGAGATGATCGATGTCATTGCCGTCACCAAGGGTCACGGTTTCCAGGGTGTCACCAGCCGTTGGGGCACCAAGAAGCTTCCCCGTAAGACTCACAAGGGTCTGCGTAAGGTTGCTTGTATCGGTGCTTGGCATCCTAGCCACGTCCAGTGGACTGTTGCCCGTGCCGGTCAGATGGGTTACCACCACCGTACCTCTTGCAACCACAAGGTCTTCCGCATTGGCAAGGGCTCTGACGAGGGTAACGCCTCGACCGAGTTCGATATCTCCAAGAAGCAGATTACTCCGTAAGTACCAAGTCAACTGGATTGCTCGATTGAACAATATCGCTGATGAAATAACTTTAGCATGGGTGGTTTCGTCCGCTATGGTGAGGTCAAGAACGACTATGTCATGGTCAAGGGCTCCGTTCCTGGTGTCAAGAAGCGTGTTATGACTCTGCGCAAGACCCTGTACCCCAGACCAGCCGGAGAGCCACCGAGAAGGTCGAGCTCAAGTGGATCGATACCTCCTCCAAGTTCGGCCACGGTGCTTTCCAGACTCCCGAGGAGAAGCGTGCATTCATGGGTACCCTCAAGAAGGACCTTGTTACTTCTGCTTAAGGTGTTTATGTCGGTTTGGTGTAGTGCAGCTTCTTACTTTTTTCAATAAAAAAGCGAACAATACCTTCAAAGCCTACGCCTTCCGCTGGATGATCAGTGATGCCTGTTTCCAAGTCCTCATGTAGCTTAAGGTAATATGATGATGTTCCAAAGAAAGTGGTCTCCACAAGGCAATCAAGTAGTGTACACTCCCAAATTACTGTATATATAAAGTGTTGTGACCCAAGTGCTTGAGGGTAAAAGTTTGCGCCTCCCGAAATCTCTCCTGGAATTTTTAGCCCTCTCCTAGGTCTCATTTTCTGCAGACAACACTTCGTCCGTCCCTGCCATGTGATATTTTATTGTCTTACTTGTATTTCTTTGTTTAGTTGTCAATACTAAAGAGGCACTGGTCGTTTGTCGAAGCATCCATGCGTCGGTGGCAGCTGGGCCGCAGGGTCTATTGCGTCATTAATCGCAACCTGGTTTGGGCTTCAACTTCAACTGCATCACCAAATCGGGCTGCCCTCTCTCCCCAGTCTCTAATCTTAAAGTCTCGAGGTTTTTTCATTACCTCTCACCGTCGCTCATATTCCCACTTGCGTATCCGAACTTCTCCGCAGAATCAGACACTTCTAGCTTCGTCCCACCAAACCACCCACTACACCATCCCATCACCGAACCCTCGCCGCAGTCCCATCATCTCTCGAGCCATGTCTTCAGACGACGCTTACGTATCCTTCCTGGACAAGGCAAACGCAGACCTCAATAACGCCCGAGCAGCACAAACCCAGCAGTCGTCCGGCGTGCGCACGGAGACCGTTGACGTTGGCGCTCAGATCCCCGCTCCACTCAGATCAGTGGATGCATACTACATCTCCGAGACCGACGAGCCCTTTGAGCCCGTAACATTGAGATGGGAGGGCGCGAATAAGGGAACTTGGCCCGGTCCTGGTTCGTATATCTCGACGGAGAGTCGTACTGCCTGAAAAGACAAAGCATTTGCTAACGATGCCTTATCCGCACAGCCGAATTCTCGAGACTCATCTCGCCTGACGCTGATCTCTCCTCGGTCATTGAGACATTGACGCCTTCGACCTTTGATCCTAAGAACCAGTACTCGGCTGCGCTGCGCGCGGTGCGGGCCGCGGTCGCGCAGACTTTTGGAGGTGGTGAGCCTGGCATCGATGAATCGGATGTAGAGGTTAAGGTGTACCGGGTGGAAGTTGGCAAATCGCGCGTCGAGTATTATATTTTGGGACTAGACGCTGAGGGAGGGACTATTGTGGGATTGAGGGCTAAGGCCATCGAGTCTTAGCTTGCATTTCCCCCTCTGGTCTGTGTGTTCGATCAGCTGTCATTTTGTAATTGATATAGCCAGATGACGATTAACGTGATATATGTCTACGATAGCTTGAACTTTATTCGAGTGATTACGAAATTTGTGGTACAAAGTCGACGCAAGATATATTCTTCTTGCATACTACGAAATCAGTAGCCATAAGTATCGATACGTGATTGTAGGAATCGACCATGTTCTGCATGCGAGCTCTTGATCTGCAGAACATAATGATTATTATGCGGAATCGTATGTATATATGTCATTCCAAGGCCAGTGTGCTTCTGTATGCCTCATGTATGACATAACTTTCGGCTAATAGTTCTCGGAGAATGATGGCCTTCATCCAAGTTGTTAATTGCTAGCGTCCCCATTGATGACCTGATATACAGAGAAAGAGCTAGAATACATAGAGCTAAGCATCGGCAATTCAAAGTAGAGTAAGGTGGCAAAATCTATATGCTGCAGTCTAAGTATGTATCTAACACCAACTTGGCCGATGAGCAGCATAATCACGATTGACAACCTCGTGAGTGCCAGCCTGCCAGGACAACACGTCTAGGACACTACTAGCTTTTGACTGGTTGGGATGGCGGAATATGGGTATGTATATGTCTTGTTGGAGGAATGAGGACAAAATATGATAACGGACTGTCTACGCAAAAACACCACTAAAGCGCATCGGTGGATTTCTTTGGCCTTCTCTGCCCAGTACTGACGGTATGACAGTTGACACATTATGACTGAGCCCATCAATGGAAACATTAGTGCATATCATTACCTTGCAGGCCAAGGTTCACAATTGTAGAAAAGGACGCGTGTTCTGGAATGGCCCTGTTTTAGGCTGTCATGTGTGGCATTACATGTCTGATTGAGACATTTGGAGTCCATCGGCTGGAACTGATCTCAGCATCTGGATTCAAGAAACCGGCAAGTAGATAGACCTTGACTGCCATTGACTTACTTGAGCCATATTGTCCTTGGCTCCATTGTTGTTGTTGTCGTTGCTGTACTGGAGGTATGTAGAGGAAGACTTGTATCCCGCAGCTGCAGGGTCCTAACTTAATTTAGGGAAGCCATTAACGGGAAAGTGTCCCAGCAGAGAATGAACTGGGTTGACTCGAGATAGAATCTCGACACATATTAACGCGCTTGACTCTTGATGGTTATATGTAATGATTTTGCTTGTCCTTGATGCAAGAACTGCGGCCAAAACGATCAATGCACTAGCCCCAAACGGCTTAGCTGCTGTGTGCCTGATTCATGAATGAGGCCCCCACATGTCCATATATTCACATACCTTCCCCTTTTGCCGTGGAATTCTATCGACCTTCATCCTCCATTCCAGAGCGACCCTGGCTAGCAACCACCCTCTGTGGTCTCAATTTGGTCCTTTGGCCCTTGGCCTCGCTCTTGAATGGACTTTGCAGCCAACCGTGCTCTCAGGATGGAGTTCATGACTCTACGAATTGATGCCAATGATTGATAACTAGTACACTCGCCTCCGATGTTCCCAGCCATCATACAGCCACCAACTAATCGAACCTCTCTGCAGGCTATCAAAACCCTCAGTCAACGATGGTGGGTCTCCAATGGCTGGCTATTGCTCCCAAGCATTGCCCCTCCTAGACGAGAACATTCCTGATGGGAGGGTGACCCTTGGTAACCACGGCTGATTGCCTCAATGCTTAAAGTTGCTATGCTTGTTTCGGCGCTGTTGTTACTACTACCACCAATCAATGCAAAGTATTTGGGGTTTACCCTCATGGAATATGGATCCCTTGATCATTGTCCTGCTGGAAGAACAAGGAAGAGGGCATTTGACCGTTCTATGTAGGGACAGTAGGCAAACAGGGACTGCAAACCTGCTCTACTATCCCTTTCTGATCCCCAAGAACCTTCACTTATTGAATAGTTGCAATACCTTGTTTCGTCCTCTGCCTCACACTTGTTTTTGATCATTCTCCCTCTTTTTTTCTCGGTAATTCTTGGTGTGACACATTCTATCGGCCTTCCACCATTGTTTACACCCTCAGTGCCATCTCAAGTCTGCAGTCTCTTTGTCCCTCTTTGTCTCTCTGAATACTTTCTATTTGAGCTTACTTCCTCAAGAAAGTGACCAGTGAGTATTATTTTTATTGCCATTGTCTAACACTTTTTCCAACAACTGGCGCACCATCGGTATCACGATTCAGCATTCAGTCATTCCGCGCAGGACAGGTATCTCAGAATCCCAAACATTGACTCGATCTATCAACTTGGCAAGGCTGAATGAACACTCCCGGCCCCTGAAGCCACACACTTTGTGAGAGCGGATCTTCTGGCAATGGTCCTCGGATAACGCAATCGAAAGGATCGAGAGAGTGACTAGCAGATTGGAGCAAGAGGTGGAACACGGATTGGTACGGTTTGTCAGAAGTCATTCTTTGGTGATCAGCATACATCCAAGCCAAACTGCCACCAAGCTGCCACAAAAAACTGTCGGCAAAGCGTCGGCGGCGACGGTCTCTCGCGCCGGCCTCTACACAGGTTCATAGATCCTTAGAGAGAGTATTCGGACTACGTCAGAATGTCCGACAGCTCCTCAACGCATAGCGCTAAGGATGGCCCTCGTATTCAGATCCGAATTAACTCTGGCCAACATGAGCCCATTACCGATTCAGATGATCGCTTATCGAGAGTCCCGAGTCATCAAATTGGGCGAGCTTTAATACCAGGTGTGGCCCTTTCGCCGTCTGCTGGGACATTACACACAGTATACGGGTCCTCCAATCTGCAAGACTCGTCTGAATTTTTGCTACCACCGCGGCCCCATCGTTTTAAGGAAGAGTACGAACCATACCGATCACCAGCGCCTTCAATACGTTCGTCAAGGCGAACGAGCTGGAGCTCAGAAGCAGGGAGTTATGATACGAGGGGATATCCTTACGGCCAATTTGAAGATTCGCGCGCCCCATCCCGAGCAGATAGCGATGACAACGAAGTGAACACGCAGACAGTCGCCGAAAAGTACAATATCACGCCTACGGACGGCTTGCTTCTCTTTCCTGAGCCAGAGGAAAAGGACGATTATCTGCATAACCCAGACCCCAACGATAAAGAAGGACAATGCGACTTGTGGAATCGCCGCGGCATCATGAATGTGACGGGCCTAGTCCTGCTGACTTTGGGTTTTCTAGCACTTTTCATTGGTTATCCCGTGATGTATGTTCTAATCTTCTCCCGTCCATAGCGATCATATGCGTCAACTGACCACAAGGCTTTCTAGAACGGCGGTGAAAGGCATGCTAGATAAATCTGGGCCGCCTAAATGTAACCCGAGCGATCCGCTCTGTCTAGAAGTAGGGGAACGCCCGTTGCTCTCGAACATACGAAGAGGCTTGATAGATCCGGACACGCCGGATTCCGCCAAAACCAAGATAGCCGCAGATGGGAAGGAGTGGACGCTTGTAGTAAGCTGAGGGCCCTTTTTCGGCCTTTTGTCCCCTCATTGGACGGAAAACTGACATCTATCATCCAGTTTTCGGACGAATTCAATACTGAAGGTCGGACTTTTTATGAAGGCGATGACCCGTTTTATCAGGCGGTTGATCTCTGGTACGGTGTGACGCAGGACTTGGAGGTCAGTCATAATACGTGTATTGCAAACTGGAGCAAAGGCTGACATCGCTGCAGTGGTACGACCCAGATGCGGTAACGACTAGAAATGGGGTCCTGGAGATTCGTTTCGATTCATTCCCCAACCATGAGCTGAAATACCGATCAGGAATGGTACAAAGCTGGAACAAGCTGTGCTTCTCCGGGGGTCGCCTGGAAGCAAGCATATCCCTGCCGGGTGCCGGTGATGTGTCTGGATTCTGGCCCGGTTTCTGGGCGATGGGGAATCTGGCGCGGCCTGGATACGCTGCGACCACAGAAGGGGTGTGGCCATACAGTTATCATGATAAGTGTGATGCGGGCATCACACCAAACCAGAGTTCTACCGATGGCATCAGTTACCTTCCTGGGATGCGCTTGCCTGCCTGTACCTGCGCAGGCGAGGAGCACCCAAGCCCCGGCAAATCTAGAAGTGCGCCAGAGATCGATGTGATCGAGGCAAGCGTGATTGCTCTGAATAATAACCCAAATGCAGTTATTGGCTCTGTGTCTCAGAGTTTGCAGATGGCGCCGTTTGACATATGGTACATGCCTGATTACGGTAAGTTTTACTCACCCCGAGCACGAAGGAAGACCACTATGTCGTACTAGAGACCTTAATCTCACGCTCACAAACTATAGAATTCACGGCTGTATATGACCGTCAGATAACGCAAATCAACAGTTATAGAGGAGGTCCCTACCAGCAAGCCATGTCCGGTCTCACTAATCTGAACAATAAGTGGTACAACGGCAGCGAGTACCAAGTCTATGCCTTTGAATATACCCCCGGCGCTCAAGGAGAGATCACCTGGTTTGTCGGGGCCGATAAAACCTGGACCTTGGATGCTAGAGCTATTGGTCCTAATGGTAATATTGGCCAGCGCATGATTCCGCTTGAGCCGATGGCCGTCGTCATGAACTTGGGCATGGCCTACAACTTCGCAGCCGTCAATGACACGATCAGAAACTACATGCCTGGTATCATGAGGTTCGATTATATTCGGATCTACCAGGATCCGCACAACATCAGTGTCACTTGCGACCCTCCGGGCTATGAGACGACCGAATACATTTCGAAGCATCCGAAAGCCTACCGCAATGCTAACACAACGACATGGTATGTTTGTTCTCTTATTTTTCGCTCGCGTTCTCGAAGTGTTTCTGACTTCTCCTAGGTCCGACGCCGGATACAGATGGCCGAACAATTCTTTCATACACGGGTGTTCACGAGCTTCATAGCATTTTCGTCAATTTACCTTGGAATCATTTTTTTGCATCTTGCCATGATGGCTAGAAGACCCACTCAATTCGCCTGTCTATGTTTTCCCGGCTACCTTGCCAACAAAGCCTCGTTTTTGAAGGCGCTGTTTCTTGTTGGCCTCGCGCATGAATATTTTATCAGCATTACATTTTGGTGTTAGGCGTGTAAATCTTTCTCGGAGGCCCGACGGACATGCAGATCTCAAGCCATGCTGAATGTCTCCTCTGTATCGCGTAAAACCCCATGGCTTTGGCACTTGTGTGCGGCTACATACTCGATCCTGTATCTTATACTGGTTAGAAATTAGCATTTCATCGTTGCTATCCTCGTTTCCAATCTTCTTGATGACCTTTGACTTGGTTCACGGGACTTCACCAGGCAAAAGTTGGCTTCATAAATGCGTCAAGTCATCAAAATATAGAAACCCGGGTTTCACTTCGTGAATTATAAGCATATGAGTAAATCAGGCTAAACGGCATTATGACTTTTAACATGTTGTGAGGAGGTGACTAAGCAAGTCCATCATTGTGCGGGTGATCCACGTCAATTGCACTGTTCGTGCAATGTGCGTTCATTGCTCTCGAACCAAATGTCCAACTGTCTCCTGGTGAGATATCCTGCCTCCATCATCAAATCCAGCTTTAATGGGTTTGTCTGAGCAAAAGATGTGGACACCGCTGCGTATGGCCTTCCCAATTTAGTCTTCCCCGCATTGGCCACGCTTGAGTCCTTTGCAACCTACAGAAGTATTTCGCTTGGTTTGCATCTCTAGCGCTTCTATGTGACTGAAGTTTGGACTGGAGTTTCCAACTGGATCTTATCCTCTCGATTTCTTTCCACGGAGGGACTATCTCCCTCTTACATCTAAGTCATAACCAAGATTCTGGGCGTTGATCCGCTCACTGCCAACCTTAACTGAACAAACCACAAACAAAGGCAAGCAGCATGTTCAACCCGAACATCCCCAACACGGGATACCACGGTCGTCCCATCGTCATTGAGGACGATGACGACGAGGACAACGGCGGAATGGAGGTGGACTATGCCGCAGCCCAGCATCCCCAACACTCATTCATGGCATACGGTACGTACATCCCATCTGACCACAACTCCAGACAATCAAGACCAACATCTGGACCAACTCTAATCAAACCTACAGGCCACAACGCCTCAACAGCCCGAATGCCCAGCCCCGGCTACCCAGCCTGGCACACGACCCTCGAGCAGGAAAAGAAAGTCCGCAGCCGGCTGCGCGAGGAGCGACACGCCGCGCTGTGCGTGCTCCTCGACCGCGAACTGCTTACCCTGCAAGCACTAGCTAATCAAGAGGTACAGTACACCCCCTCACATATCTCATGACCGAGATGCCGATAGATGAAACAGGTGTTTATTATATGTGTATACTAACAGACGACAGACCCTCCCCCAAGCCCGCCGCTGCTTCTTATCTAAGCTTCTTGCACCGGGGGACCCCGAGGAGGCAGCCAAGATCCGCGCGGACCGCTTCATCATCCAGCACCCGTCGACGACTGCGTCGTCATCATCCTCATCGTCGGCCCCCATGACGGTCAGCCGGGGGATCGTCGATGTCCATGAGACGGACGATGGGGGCTGGCGCCGTCCCGATGCGGGATCGGGATCGGGGTCGGGGCCAGGATCGGCTGTCTCATCGCCTGCTTCGGCGTCTAAGAAGAAGGGCAAGGAGACTCCCGATCGGGCCAGGAGTAAAGCCAAAGTATCCGCGAGTCGGCAGCAGCAGCAACAGCGGGAGAGGGAGAGGAGGCGGAGATGGAGCGGTGCTGGGCGCGATGATCCGGGGTCTCCTTCGATGCAGAGGTTTTCGCCTTGATTCTTGTTTCAGTTATGTAATCAGATGTTATTGATTTTGTAATCTTGATGATACCATGAAACCGGATCGGATTGGGAATTACAGCACAAAAAAAATATCTGCTCAAGCTGTGCGTTGTTATATGTTGATATATGGCTAACATACCACGCCCATGAACCCCCATTCCACCCATAATGTGATATACTATACATGGCCCAAAACGAGAACATCGCAAACAGAAAAATAAGAGGCCATCAAGGAGATGATGAAACAAAGCCGTCCATCATGGTCTAGCCATCTCATATATACAATGCAGACCAACACCAAGTTTTGCCAGCTCCCGACAACAGCCGCACTGAAAAATCTCAATGGGGTATATCAAAAATGAACTTTTCTCTTCCCCTTTCGCGAATTCCCACTAGAAATTTCCAGTACAATCATTCGCATATTTACCTCCTATGCGGGTTGTATCAGGTAGGCTGAAGAAAAAGCCCTGCTCTTTCTCATGATAGAAAGAAGAGAAGTGAGCTGGAATATAAGGAACTACGGGATTGTCGGCATGGAAACATACTGAAGCCAGATGCTGACAATCGCGTAGTTCCTAATGTTCCAGCGCATTTTGCAGCAATACAAGTTGAGATCAGTAGATCCCCGTCATCGCAGGTATCTACCGTTTCGACATGCCTGTAAACAGCAAGCAAACGTGGTAGCGGCTTCTACGTGCTCAAATGTTCAGTATTGAGCATGCTTTCAGCATCACCAACCTGTTTGCGCTCAGAGACTTCCCTGTTTCGCATTCGGGCGGCTTGAATGTTCATCAGCGTCAATCCTTGGGACGGCGGCGGATCGGGTTCCGAGTAAAAAGGATGCAGTCTGTGGGAAGTGGAGAACCGAACACGACCGTCCCTCATGACTGGTAATTGTCATTGCAGGGGCTCCGAGCTCGAAGAGAGCCGATTCAGATGGAGATAGACATCTGTGCCATATCTGCAAATAAAGTCAATGTCTGAGAGCGCGAGACAAACTTGATCATCCTCGAAGGAATGTGCTTACCCTTCCATACTGATCAACTTGAGATCACCACCAAAGTACCGAGCGTACAAGCGACTGATTGGCAATCCGTACCCAAAGCCAGCCATGGGAGCTTTGAAGTCGTTCTTATCGAAATCCGGATCCAGATTGGGTGTCTGATCCACGGTAGTGTACATGTATGTCCACACCAACGGGATGGAAGAACGGGGTATGCCACCACCTTCATCGGAGATTTTGATGGTGATGTCCTCCTTTCCTTCTGCCACAATGACCTTTGTCACAGGAAATGCTTCCTTGTCCGCGCCGTGAGTCTCCACCACAGCACGCAGCGAGTTCTTGAGAGTCTCAAAGAGCATGTGTGACAGGTGACCGGGGACGTACATGAAGTTGAGGTCGTCCTTGCAGATGAGCTGAATCTTCGGTGCTTCGAAAAGACCATAGTAGTCCTCACAGACAAAACGAGCATTGTCAATGGCCTCGAGTGCGACTTCTCGAACATTTGTCTTGGTGCAAATGATACCGACGTAGTTCGGGTGGCGAACATGCGTTTGTTCCGTCAGGGCGATGTGTTGACCGATTAACATTCGTATACCGATACGGGACATATAAAAGCGATCTAGGAATGACTGGACGGTAGAATCAATTTGTAAACGTTGGCGTTTTCGTTTCCATTCCAAAATGCCCTGGGCTACGGTGGTCACGACGCTGTCGTGTCGCCGTTTGATATGCTGCAGAGTCTTCGCAAACCGTTGGTTGTAGTCGTTCAATTCGGGTGGCCAATGGCCTTGGTCATCGGATGGGTAGAAGTATCTTCGGCTGACATGCCCCTTCCCGTTTCCATTCCCGTTCGTGGGGGACGACCGATACTGCCCTTCCTTGATGCTGGGATTCTGTGTAGTTTCAGAAAGAATCTTAGAAAAGCCACCACTCATCTTCCCAGGCCGTAAGAGGCGAGCTTTGACTTCTTGAGAAAGAGTCGGTCGGGGCAGGTTGATGATTTCCTGCGGAGCACGTGAGCACCTATCACTACGGCAAGAGGCGTGAAGCGTGGTCATACCTCGAACGACTGCGCATACCAGTCCTGCACCTTCTTGATCGATGGCATTTCACTCAATCCATCAGGAAGTTCTCCGAGATCCTGAACGCGATGTGCTAAGCGAATAGGTAACTCTTCGGAGAGAAATTGTGAGGCACGAAAGAGGGTTCCTGCACCAACCGACGGACAATGAGATCAGCCCTGGCTGCGGCCCAATTGAAACACTTCAAGACATCCCAGAAGAACTAGATGGATACACATACCTGTCGATGGCCTGTCACCGAACTGGACCATCTGCCGGAGAGAGACACCTGTGGCGGGGAAGCTCGCATAGTGTCTGATGGTTTCCATCAGTCTCTCCGACGGTTTCCACATGTCGTCTTCAAATACAGGCCAGACGGCCTGATGTGCACGCTTTATTAACCCAGAGAATCCAAATGATACGACTGGAAATGCGATGGGAACCTGAGTTGGCATGCACACGATGATGATGGGAGAGAAGAGAGCAGTCGATGTACCCCGGACGTCGGCTGCCGAGGTTGTTGAGTCACAAGGGAGAGCGCAGGGCGGTAAGAGCTCTGAAAGCTCCGATTCGGAGGGAATGAGGGGAAGAGGGGCTTGATGGGGATGGGCATGCGGACGAGGAAAATATGCTTCTTCGGAAGTGGTATGAGAGCACGATTTCACGAGTGTATCGTACGATTTAAGGAGGTTCAATGCTTCTGCTACAAAACATTCTATCTAGAAAGAATCCCCCTCAACCGAAGGAGGAGACGACACGATACTAAATCAGTCACGACGGAGTACTGTGCTGCTTGTTGCGGAGCCCCGGGGTCACGTGTGGGGATGTACCCGTGCCTGGCCGAAGGAGCAAAACGGGTGACATTCAGCCGATTCTCGCGCGACCACGACCCGGGACAGGCTTCGTGATGATGATTCATATTTTGAGGTCTTTGAGGTCGACTTTTCTGCTCGGGAAAATTTCCTAGAGTGCGGCTCTACATGACCAGACTGGTTCTGGCAGTCATCTTCTCCCTGTCTAGCAGCGGTTCCAGCCCCATATGGCAGCGGAAGAGCGGGTGGAAATGAGAATAAACAATAATAGAGATCCTCCGGATTTCCCCTTCGCCCGAGAAGCTTGACTTGTGTTTTGCCGGCAAGCCCACATACACTCTTACACTGGCAGTTGCAGGCGGAAGTTTTACCGGACATCAGATTCACCTGAAACCATCTAGATAAGGGGCAGATCACTTAACGGCTTCTCAGCCACGGTCTCCTCGGTCATTCGGCCTGTTGAGACTCGAATGAGGCTAATTACCACGCTACTGCAGCTGTGCTTTCATGGAAATTGAGTTGCCGGGAGATGCGGTTGACAGTTGACACCCCACGATTTCCCAGTCCACGAGACTATTTATTTCTGGACGGGCACCGTCGTTTAGAGGGAACCTCCTTTTCTGGACTTGGGGAAAATGTCTTAACCCGATTGATATTCCGGTCGTCCTTGACCCTTACCATCAGTTCTCGAGTTGAGACGCTTCGTCGCGTAATCAAAAGGGAATCTTTGGACAGGTCAAAGTTCAATCGTAGCCATCTGGTATCGAGCCGGCCTTGTGACTTCACATTGCTTCTTTCTCTCCAAGCCTACTTCCTTAGCCATTCCTTGCCATCATTTTGGGTAACAAAGGATCTTAATCTGGACCGTGCCTATGAATGACGAAGCAACAGTCGCAACAGTTGACTTATCCAAGAATGGTTTACATGCATGAGGCAGATCCCCGCCAAACAGGATTTAAGGTCGCTGATGAGCGATAATAATGGAATAGCCATGGAAGAGGAAAAGAAGCTGCGTAGACGTAGACTATTTAGACGACATCGGCAACGACTAAGCTGTCTTGTTGATCAATCGTCGTCCTCACCAATTTCCGATTGCCCAGTGCCTACCTACAGGAGCATATCAGCAGCACGTACTTTTGCTCTACGATGACCATTATGTGACGCCTGAGCAGGATAACACAGCTTAACCCCACCAAAAGAAATGATTGATCGCGAGAGCAGTCCTTTCTTTGTTTGAGCTGGATGCACCTTTTCATCATCATCATCATTTCACCATCATCGGCGTCCTTGATCGCCCAAATGACCGCTGCCACTTGGCGAAGTGGAACTGCGAGATGATGAAGCTCAAAGGGAACGGCAAGAGCCCATTATCTACTCCGTATCTCCCAGTGAAACGTGTCGAGTACTTTGGGCTGATGGTTCTGGTCGGTCGAGGCGCTTCCGGACTCTCCCACCCAGAGGACATTCCAAAACAGCCGTTTCTCTGAGTTCGTGATCTTGCGGCGCCCAGAAACCTTTTTGGCAGTGGAGTCTTTCGTTTTTCCCTTTTGACACCTGTCTGGCCCACCAACCACACAAGGGTCGCCCACTTGCTCTTGGAGAATAATCAACCGGCAGATTTATCTAACTGGCTGTCAATTCACCGCAGCGGGCTGTCTGGAACTCCTGGTTGCAGTTCGCGATTCCCCTGTTGCACAGTGCACACAGTTCTATTTTGTGTTAAGTTTTTTTTTCTTTTTTTCTTTTTGTTCTTCTCTCTCTGTGGACTGTTTTCGTTTTGCTGCATCGTTTGACTCCCGTCGCCGTCTATCTTTGCTTTTTCTTCTACCCAGGAGTGAAATAGGACAAGCGCTTGGCTGGCCCGGAAAAGGCATTAAGTAAACAACAGGTAAGGACAGTTCTTCTTCTTCCTTTTCAAAGCTTCGTCTCTCGCGAAAAGAAAAAGAAAATAAAAAAGAAAATAAACCACGGTTCAACGGGGATGGGTGGATCTCCATTACCCGCCGATGAATCGTTCCTTTTTTGTAAGAAGGAACTTGGCCAGAACCATCGAAGGTTCTATAATCCTGATTATCCTCATCTGGCTGCTCTGGTGAAAAGTGATGCAGGCGATGACGATGATGCAGCGATCCTCGCTCTCTGCTGCGTCGACTGATTCTCCACGTTGGCCGTGGTTTTTGCTTGAATTTTTTTAGTGAAGTTGTCTCTCGGTTATGCATTCACTAATCAGCAACCCCGATAGAGAGGAAGGATCCGCAAATTGGGCTCAGGAATTACTTATTTTGCGCTCATGCTGTCGATGCCATATTCCTGCTTGTGACTGGCTCCAGTTTAGGAGAAATTGCCCCTCTCAAGTCACCAACCGTTGTGTTTCATTGTGCGCCTGGCAAAGATTCACTATAATAATTAGTATTATTGCTATCCATTTGGCGGTCCACCGAGATATTTTCTGTTTCCCATATTCTCTTAAAAAAGTGAAGCATTCCCATTAAGAAAGGGACAGTGAGGAAATACGAAGAGAAGGAGAAGAGAAGGAAGATAGACGAGGAAGAGGAAGAAAGAGAAGAAGAGAGACAGAAGAACAAGGTCGAGGACATCCGAATCAGGAAAGACCCTAACGACTCAGTTTCATCCCAAAGAAGGGCCCCTCTTCCGAGCCACCATTGTGCCTAAGTCACTGCTACTCCCACCGCACGTTCTGCTGTCATCTCTCGCCATCATCGGCTCAAGTTCATCCCCCCATTTTCCATCGCCCCTTCAGCTTCATTTTGAACGCTTAACTCTCTGCAATTCCTCGGCCGTCCCCAACCTGCTTTCCTCCAGCTTGACTGTTCGAAGAGGCAGAGGATAGGACCGCTAGATTGTTGTTGCATGGGTGCACCAGCTTCACGTCTCCCGTCTCCCCCATCTCGTGCTCTAATCTGCATGTTCGAACGGTCAGCAAACCATGTCCCGTCGCCGTGCCTCAAACAGTGAATCAATAGCCTCATCGTCTACTATGAACGAGGCTGTTGCATATCCATTCTCCGGTATGCAGCAGAATCATTTGCCCCAGAGGCGTGGCCCTATCGAGGGCCCTAACGGACGAAGGTTGATTCGGAGAGTCACCTGGCGTTCGTCGACCTACAAACTCATGGCGTCCCTTTGGGTCTTGGGCGTGTTTTACACCGTCTGGCTTATAAGGGACCTCTTTTGGCTGCCCTTCGCCCCGTCAGAAACGGAATCTACCACTGGAACTGCGGGGAAAGAGTAAGTTTTTCTGTGACCTTGTCTGTTCAGCTGTCATGGCAGCTTAATACTTACCGAAGCGTTTCTCTTCCTCAGTTTTCTAGCACACTATGCGGGTCGTCAGGAGTGCGGCATCTCCTCAGTCTCCTTATACAACCCCCCAGAAGACCAGCGATATTGCCAGACTCGAGACTCATTGCTCAGCGCAATGAGCAATGGAGGCCGTCATGGCTTTGATGCTGCCTATACATCACAAGGTACGAGCGGGATTGGTTGACCCTAACGTCATCTCACCAATGCGTCTCTTTGAATCTTCTGCTGGCGCTTGCTACGGTTCTGTTGACATGCTTAGGTTGTGTCTATCGTTGGTATAGCAGCTCTCAGATCTGCGATATACTCCAAAAATTTGACGGAATCGCTTTCATCGGTGACGAATCACTGGCTGATGCTTATGCTGGATTCAATATCCTTCTCCGTGAAAACCTCGCCACTGGCGCTCTGAAAGATTGGGAGATGAATGAGGTGTACAGTGAACAATGCAGATGTGACTCTCAATTCACCAATCCCTCCTGCTGGCTGAAGCGAATCAGTTCCAGCGAGGATATGTTTCTCCCGGGCGACAAATCAGGACCTCGAAGCACTTATGCCTGCTCAACCCGTAAGTTATCTACTTCAAGAAGATATTCCATACATGTTAGCGCTGACGTTTTGTCACTCAGATGTTCCTCATGCTTTTGTGAAAGTAGTTGGATCGCCCGCCTCAAGAAACTCTCATGAGAAAGTTCAGAAGTTGCTCGCTCGCTCCGACAGCCAAAAGAAGCCTGTCCCTGTGATTCACAGTGTTTCGCTCTCGACATCATTTTCCTTGTCCGCAGCCGAGAGTAGTATGGACGAATGGCTCGCTCTGACGAAAGTCAGCAAACAAGACACTCCTCTGCTTTGGGTGGGGCCCACGGCTCCCGGTCATGAGAAGCTGTCCACCGATACCAATATTCCTGTCAACAGTGCCGTGTGGCAGTATGCTCTAGACACGACAAAAGCAGCTCGGAGTAGAGGGATGGAAGTTCTAGGCATGTACAATGCAACCTTGCAAGCTGCTAGCTGGGACGGCAAACATTATGGTGAAAAGGTAGCTATGATGCAAGCCATGATGGTAAGTTCTCGTCTCTGCTATTAAGCGGACTATCTGGTCTGACATTCCGCAGATCATCAACTGGCTATCCGCTCTCTAAAGGACCAAAGTCATGTCCATAAGCTGCTCAACGTGATATCATATTCTAAAATATCCCGTCAGCAGGATGATGACTGGAGCGAACAAGTAGGTATAGCGCTCATGCTTCTTATGAAGCTATGCCGTGCATGACGTTTTCTGCTTAATGATTGCTTTCCCTCATCCTTCCCCTCAGCGACTCTGAAGTCACCGTTGCGCTTCTTGGATATACCTCTCGCCTTTTTCCTTTTTTTCCCCTTTTCTTTCCATCTTCTTTCAACTTACGTCTTTTGCTGCTTCTCTTCGGATCATTTTGTAGCCATTTTTCTAGTATTTAGATTTCTCTTCAATGTTCCTACGTCCGTGAATTCTTGGCGAACTCCAAACGCCATATCTGCTTCTGGTGCATTTCCTCAGCATGGGTGGCTTTCTGCCTTTTGCCGTTTGATGATCTCCCTTTCCTGCTTTTCATAAAAGGATGAAGAGGACGAATATAATGGAATAAAGGGGAAGAATTGGGCCATGTATTGAGTCGCCATTTACGTCACCGGTCTTCATCATCGCGACTGGGCATGTTAATCTTAATACCTTCTACGATGTGGTGCTGCTTGGGAAAAATAAGAGGTCAAAGTTAGTAATGCATTCTATTTTGACATAGGATGGTTCGACTAAAGCCTGTGTAACCTGGAGGACGTGGAGGCGGCTGGCTTGTGGCATGTAGTACAGCATATACCTGAGTGGGCCTGCAGTCGGCTTCGTTGACTGGCAGGTATCGTTACGCGGGATCCAGATTCACGCCTAGCTACTAGACTAGCAGTAGAAAGTAGGCCATTATTCAAAAAATCATCCTATATCATTAGTATATACACGTATCTATATCAGAAAATCTCCATTCACTGTACTGAGCGTGACTCATCAAACTTTTGTGTATAGCGCGTCTCAATCGTAGCTTATCCATGGCATTAGCAGACAGTTCGTGGTACCGCTTGATTAAGTGCCGACGTAGTTTCTCTTCGGGCAGGGTTGAGATCCATTCCCTCCCAGGGTGATTTTCCAACATTGTATTCCAAAGGAAGTTATGAGTTTCCGAGAGGATAGTGGTGTGGGATACAGCCTTAGACGTAAAGAGCGGCGGTCTCGGCCTTGAGGAGGTGCTCCTCGTAGGGCTGAAGGGCCTTCTTGACCTCTGTCGATGTGAACTTCTCCACCTGCTGGGGTGCACGGCCGACGAAGGTGCTGGGGTCGAGGAGAGTATCGAGTTCGTCAAGGATGGGGGTGAAGAAGGCGGTGCGGCGGACGCGTTCGATCAGATCGTTGTCCTTTCCGAGCTTCTTGACGTTGTCCGATGCTTGGTGGGAGAGGACGCCTGCGGGCCTTGATATTAGCGAGGTACTCTGCGGTAGGAGAGGCTAGAGAGAAGCATACGGATTTCCTCATGAGCGTCCTGACGGGAGAGACCCTTCTTCACACATGCCATGATGATCTATTCAATTAGTATATGTGTTCTTCAGGTTATTCCGCTGGATTAGACTTACGTTCTCACTACATAAGGGTCAGTATATTATTTGCAGTAGAGAGAGCAAGGAGAAGTGACTTACGTTGCCATGAAAGGGAGCTCGTCGTTGACACGGCGTCTGATGACTTCGGGGTACACAACGAAACCGGAAGTGACGTTGTCTAAAATACGCGTCAGATGGTGCCAAACACAAATATATAATTTGCTTCCACTTACTGAGAAGGATCAAGCAGGCATCGGCCGAAAGGTAAAGCTCGGGAATGCTGATACGACGGATGGCGCTGTCATCCTGGAAATGGTCAATCGTAATGTTGCGTGCAGCGAAGTCGGAGAGTATTATCTTACCAACGAACGCTCGAACCATTGTGCGGAGTAGGTGTCCAGAGCATCCTTGGGCAGGTTCTGGAGGTGTCTTCCGAGAGAGCAAAGGCGCTCAGACCGCATAGGGTTACGCTTGTAAGCCTGTATGACACAGTAAGTTCACGTTCTCTTCACCTTGTGGGCAAGAGTCCGACTAACCATAGCACTGCTTCCAATCTGGTCCTTCTCAAATGGTTCCTCAACCTCCTTGAGCATAGCCAGATGGCGGATGTCAATACCGATACGCTCGCAAGTAGAACCAAACGAGCCAAGAGCGTTGGCAACGTCAACATCGATCTTGCGCGAATACGTCTGACTGGAGATGATGAATGCCGAATCGAAACCGGCCTTCTTGGTAACAAGCTCATCAAGTTGCTCAACCTTGTCGTGGTCACCGTTAAAGATCTGGAGGAAGGAGGCCTGAGTACCAGTGGTACCCTTGACACCACGGAAACGGAGATCATCGCGGGCCCGCTCAAGGTTCCGCAAATCCATGAGCAAGTCCTGAATCCATAGACAGGCTCTCTTTCCAACGGTCACAAGCTGAGCAGGCTGACCGTGGGTGAAACCCAGGCAGGGCAGATCCTTGTACTGCTTAGCGAAAGCAGAGAGCTTATCAATGACAACTGCGAGCTTAGGGATGAGAATATCCAATCCGTCACGGAGGAAGATAAGATCCGCATTGTCCGTGCAGTAGCACGAAGTAGCACCCCAGTGGATGATACCGGCAGCTGCAGGAGCGACTTGGCCGAAGGCGTGAACGTGAGCCATGACATCGTGTCTCCGACGCTTTTCCTCCTCAGCAGCAACCTTGAACTCGTCGTCCTGAATAGTGAGGTGGGCCTTCATCTGCTCAATGGCCTCATCGGGGATAGGAAGGCCAAGCTCTGCGCTTGTTAGCTCTCCAGACTTCAGTGGTGACTCCCGTTAGAGGGAGACTGTTCTCCCCTTCGCATTCAGGGATGCGAGCAATCGGTTATACACACCCTTCTGAGACTCCGCAAGCCACAACCACAATTGTCTCCATGTTGAAAATCGGTTTCTGGGAGAGAAAAGATACTTCATCTCGTTGCCTTTATATCAATGACCATTAGTGACTACAAAGCGGGACTAACTCGGCCACGGCTTCAAGAGCGCAAATTGCGGGGCACACTTACTCGCATAACGCGAGTTGAGAGGAGTTTGGTATACATCATTGCTGGAAGACATCTTGTCGATAGGAATTCGGCCTTGTCTAAGGAGAATTGGAGATGAAGAACTAAAAAGGTCGAATGACGATGTGTGCGTACCCCAAGGAAATTTTGTAGAATTTAGTGGGGGGTGCTTATCAGTCACGTTATCAGGAGGGGCTATCAAACACGGAGATCATCACATGATGGAGTAGCAAAAACGGCTATGTACATGTCCAACTAGAAGTATTATAATTAATCGAGGTATATCAGGCAAGCTGCATGGGTATCTGATCATAAAACCCCATTCCTGCACTTTGCAGACACGAAGCACCATACTTTCCAACTGTATCAGGGCCAGCTTTTAGCGGAGGATGATGCCGATGTCGGAGACCACAACCCCTGTGCTGATTTCCTATGCCAATGCAGCCAACTGCGCAGAGAGACTACCTTTGTCATATTTGACGTACTTGCCCCTGCCTTTATCAATTTCGTGGTAGCGGTCCCAGAAGCGTGCATATAGCGGTTCTAAAACGGCCTGTACCTCACGCGCCAACACTCCGCGCACTTCCCGTTCCATGTACAGAGCCTTGTGGCGGTTCACCAGTTCATCGAAGCTTGCGTTGAATGCCTTGAACTTGTCCTTGATGGCATCCTTGTCCTTGGATGAGAGTGACTTGACTATTGCGCTGGAATCGACAATGCCACCGGAAGCTGGTCGGGCTCCGGCACGCGATGTATACTGGACGTCCAGAAGATACTGCGATGTTTCTTTCCACGCATCAAGATAGGTTGAAGTGGCCCGTTTCCGGAATGTGTCTATACGCGCGATGCTGTCTGGTGTGCCCAAATGGCGTGCCAGCTCAGGGCTTTGTCGAATAGCGCGATCGACAATGCAGAAGACATTGGACAGGAAGACGCCCTGCACGGCTTTCGAACGATGAAGTGCTCGGCCTCGAGCCTCGAGAGAACTCATCAGAGCTTCAATCATATCCAGAATGAAGTGTGATAACAAGGCCGAGCTGTCTGGACTGACATCTAAAGGAGCGGTCCCTGATGCATTGGCTGTGGAGCGCCAGTTGCCGTCTCCTAGGGAAGTCAAGATGGATGCTAACGGTCCGGAATAACCAGTCAATGTAGTGAGCGAGCTCATAACTTCGTTCACGAGAGGGACTGCTCCGCCGTCAGGAGGAAGAACCGGGATGCTCGCGGCTTTCCGTTTTGTCTCCTCAAGCAGCTCCGAGAGAGATGACTTTGCTGTCTCACGAACTGGCCGAAGGGCTTCTATGAACAAGCTCTTTAGCTCGCCCGTCCTCGAGTCAACGCGGTAAGACATCGCTGTGACAATTTCGATGATCTCGAACGCTAAGAAGCAGTCCGTCATCAGATTGGCCTTGATATACTCGTTGAGCTCACGCAAGGTTTTTGAGTATTCGGCCAGTGCAGATCGGAACGTCGTCTGCAAAGCCAGCCCTCGCTGGTCGCCTGTGAAGATTTGCGCAATAATCTCGTATTCGGTGGATATGAAGTTTTCGAGCGCGTTAGAGTATATCCCTATGCCGTTAGTGCCCTGCTTGTAGGGACCGTCGGCAGCTCTTCGTTTGACAGTATTCAGCGAGGCTATGGCAAGGTTCTGTAGGCTTGACGTCAGGTAAGCCCCACGCACATCGGCGTATATTTTGAGCGCTGGGTTGCCTCCATTACCGCGTTGCGGTCCGTGGCTTGCTGCTGAATCGATTGCCGCGCATATTGATGTTAACTCCGAGATGGTCTCTTGGGGTATTGATGGGAACGGGAGATCTGTGAGAGTGTAGAAGTCAGCGCAATCGGTCTAAGACTTGATCGACTGTAAAGCAATCTCGCACCTTTCGTTAAGTAATGCAATGGCTCAATCGGACTAGCATACTGATTCAAGATCCCACGAAGCATGTCCTGAAGCTTCGCGTTTCCTGTACTAAGGAGGGAGTTGAATTCGGAAATTGCTTTCTGATTAGATTTGAGGTTTGTTGAACTCAGATCGACCAGAGCCTTGTCCACACGTTTCATCGCCGCCAGATATTGAGCCAATTCCACACTCTGTGGTCTTTTTCGGAACCAGTCAGCATACAGTGCAGCTTGCGGACGAAATGGAAGAAAGGCTATCGCTTACCCAGCGCGGATGATACCCTCCTCACGGTTCTTCGCATCGAGTGGCTGACGAAGGCGCTCGATGGCTTCATTGACCTTGTCGATGTTGCTGTTGGTTATCTGAAGAGACTGTGTATTGCTGTAGATAGGACCTATCGCATGTTTTACGACATTACCCCCGGTCTCGAGGCGGACCAGGGAGCCCTGAATCTTCTTGGTGAGGAGCTTGAGCTTCTCGAGGTTGGCGTACAGCACCTCGACCTCTGCGCTCTCCTCTGCATAAGCATTATTCCTTGGAGCGACCATGGCTGCTCAACCGGAAGGGTCCACAATAATGGACCCCAAATTAAGGATTCGAAACCAAGTGTGTAATTTGCGAAGTTGAGCTGATGATAAGAGCTGTCATTATCTTCCAATAAGAGGGGTAAGTTAATGAAAACAAAGCAATGATATGTATTAGATGAACAGCTGGCCGATGAGGCTCCTGGCCTCAAGGGACAAGCATGATCGATTGGATGGAGCTTTGGGCTTCTTCTCCCCCAGATAGACCCGAGTCTAAAAAGCGGATGATTGCATGATTTGCATCCTCCTTTCTCCGCAATGTGCGCTAATCCTAATATGGAGCCACGGCCCGTCTGCGGTTCCGCAGCTTTCCACGTGACATGTCGTCATACTCCCTTATCCCCTCGATTCCCGATGGTGCGAGAAAAGGCCGGAAAGACAAAGCAGGGGGAGATGCGGAAGATAATCAAGCCACAAATACCAACGATCTAAGTCAAGCGATCGCCATGGTCTGGCCATCCACAACTGGCCTGCCAGCATAGCAGTGAATGGCGGATGCGTTTGTCTTCTTCCTTTGCCTCGTCACACGTTGCCCGCCTCACAATGGGTGCAGCAGGAGTTTATCGCCTGCGTTGGACGGTCCCTCCTGCTGCGCTGGGCCTTCTGGGTAGTGGGGTACTTTATAAAAGAGGTGACCGCCATAATCAGCTGTTGCAATCGGACTCAAAAGCATGCTTTTCCGTGTCCTCCAGGCTCAATGCCAACGAACGGTCAAAAAGGAAGTCTTCAGGAAGCTCAGGTGCTGGCGACGAGGAGGATACTCAATATGCAGAGACGGGACTTTGGGCCAACATCATCCAAAAATTCGACGGTGTGAAGCAGACCGTTGGTAATGCCGAATGGATCGAACTTGATAGCCTAAAGAAATCGATCATTCCCGACTGGACCTCATTGCTCCCTGTGACGGTGCAGAAACTGCAACGCGAGCTCTCCATGGCTCCTGGCTCTCTTGCGGAAGAAATTTGGAAAGAAGCTCACGATCCAGATGTGCACCCAGAGATTCTTCAAGAAGCCAGAGTCCGCGTCGGAAATACCTTGTGTGACGAAGAGTTGGCCTTCCGGCGCAAGCGGCAACAGCATGCTGTAAAGGCATTGGCTTCGTACTTGAATATTCCTGAGGAGGATATTCATCCGGATGACGTTCCTATCATCGCGATGTGCGGTTCGGGAGGTGGTCTGCGCGCCCTCGTGGCCGGCACTGGCTCGTATCTTGCTGCTCAGGAAGTGGGATTGTGGGACTGTGTCACCTACACCGCTGGCGTCAGTGGCAGTTGCTGGCTGCAGACTCTATACCATTCATCGATCACTGGTCGGGATTATAATCGGTTGGTCGATCATCTGAAGAACAGGCTTGGGGTGCACATAGCGTTCCCACCCAAGGCTCTCAATCTGCTCACAACTGCACCTACCAACAAGTATCTGCTCAGCGGACTGGTCGAGAAATTGAAAGGCGACCCCGGCGCGGATTTTGGCTTGGTCGATATTTATGGCATGCTACTGGCCGCGAGACTTTTAGTCCCCAAAGGAGAACTAGGAGTCTCGCACCAAGATTTGAAATTGTCAAACCAGAGGTACAATCTTTACAATGGTGCTCACCCAATGCCTATATACACAGCTGTCCGTCACGAGATCCCGGTGCTAGAAGCAGTGGAAGATGAAGAACTGAAAAAGGAAATAACACCTGAAAAGCTCATTAAGGCGTCACAGAGCGAAGCATGGTTTCAGTGGTTCGAGTTTACCCCCTTTGAATTTTTCTGCGAGGAGCTAGGCGCAGGTATTCCCACCTGGGCTTTGGGAAGGCATTTCAATGGTGGGCACAACGTGGTACCGCAAGGGGAATACCCATTGCCTGAGATGCGTGTTCCCGGATTGATGGGCGTGTGGGGTAGTGCTTTCTGCGCGACGTTATCCCATTACTATAAGGAGGTTCGACCGCTGCTGCGAGGCATAGTAGGCTTCGGTGGCGTAGACTCTCTAATCCAAGGAAAGTCCAAAGACCTGATTCGTGTCCACCCGATCGACCCTGCGACCATCCCCAATTACGTATTAGGCATGAAAGATCAATTACCGCCTTCTTGCCCGGAATCAATCTTCCACAGCGAGCATCTCCGGCTCATGGATGCGGGAATGAGCAACAATTTGCCCATTTACCCGCTTCTAAGGCCAGGCAGAGATGTCGATATAGTTGTCGCCTTTGACGCTTCGGCTGACATCAAACAAGAGAATTGGCTTTCTGTCGTGGATGGATACGCCCGTCAACGAGGCATCAAGGGATGGCCCCTTGGAGCGGGCTGGCCCAAAGAAGACACCGGGCTGAAGGAGACAGAAGAGAGGTTGCGAGAGCCGCAGAATATCACGCAAGATGCAGTAGACGAGAAGATGTCCGACGCACGACGAAATGGTCCCCAGGACCATGAAGACGGAGTGGGCAAATCGCACCCCATGGAGCCCCCGAAAGCCAGCGACGACCGACCATCTGTCCAGGATACTGATCTAGGCTACTGCAACGTGTGGGTCGGCACAAAGCAAGAAAGGGTGTCTGACAAGGAACCACCACCGTCGAAACGGTTATTCCATCCCCATCACGGAGATGATTCGGAAGCAGACTTCCACCTCATGCATCCCGACGCGGGCATCGCAGTCGTCTACTTCCCCCTGCTGCCCAACCCCACCGCCCCGGAGCTGCCTCCGAGCTCGTCCATGTCCAAACAACCGGTCCCCGCGCAGCAGTCGGAGACGACATCTTCTGCAAACGTCAAGGACGGAGTACACCCTTTGACGCCGTACCCCAGTACGATTAACCCCGAAGTGGACGATTTCCTGTCCACTTGGAACTTTGTTTACACGCCTGAACAGATCGACTCGGTGATTGGGCTGGCCAAAGCGAACTTCGCGCAAGGCGAAGAACAAGTGAAGCGTGTCGTGCGGGGAGTCTACGAGCGCAAGAAGTCCGACCGACTTCGACGGGAGGAGAGGGCGCATAGGGGACGGATGGAAGGGTTTGTGCCGATTTGACCCGGATGTGTCGGTATTCAATATATTTTCCTGTTGGGATGACGACTGTAAGAATAGTTTGTTAGACTACGATGTGGAGTAACATTGGGATAAAGGTTGGTTGTAAAGATTTACATTTGTCTTGATTTATACTGTCACAACATACATACATAAGAACATACAGAGGAAACGACGAACAAGCCTGGCTATCTATCGCGGACTCCTCGTAGAATCAGCATCGCCGGAACGGTGCTCGGAATCATCACCATTGTCCCCGAAATATGGCCGGACGCCTTCGAAATCCCCGTTCTCATCTCCCTTGGCCGTATCCGTCTTCGATTGTCCCGATTCCGCTTCGCTCTCCGCAAGACTGACGTCCTTACTCTCATCCGTCTGCTTCCGCAGCCCCAGCTCTTTGCTGAGCCCGTGGATGGAGTGCGCAGTCGCCGATACGGCCGTAGCAGCCGTCGTACTAACGCTCGTGAGCAACGGATGCTCCGTCGCGCTCGTAAGTCCCTTGGTTCCGGTGTCGACCTCCGCAATGCGCGTGGGAATGTTCTCCTGATCGCGCTCGTGCTCGTCGGCTGCGCCCGTTTCCTGACCGCGCCAGTCGGCCGGGTGGCTCTCGCGGATCGGCTCGCCTGGTTTGGGCTCCGTGATGGCCTGCGCCATGATGGCGGTGTCCTCCTTACCGGGCTCGCTGATGCCAAAGCGGGAAGGTGGTGCGTACCGCCAGACGACCTTGAGGCGGTCGAGCGCTTTGACGCCCCGTTTGGAGGTCCCCTTGATCCCGTCCAGGGACTCCCAGTCCGCCTCGAAGACGCCCGAGTCGTGCTTGTCGCCGCCTTCGAAGTAGGCGTTGAACCAGACGTGCGCGATGGAGGTCACCATTGCCCAGCCGGTGTAGGCGGCTTTGCTGCGCCGTTCGAAGTCGATGTTCACGTCGGAGGAGGGGACGATGACTGGTGTGCTGGGCCGGAGGATGACGGCCGAGATGCGTCTTTGCGGAGCAGCGCCGAGGCCGTCAGCTCCTGATGCTAGGGGAGCGGTGACGGTGGGCTTGGGGGAGGAAGTAGAAGCAATGTTGCTTGGCCAAGTAACAGACTGGGAAGCGGGTAAGGGCGAGTCGGTGGCTGTGTCTGTTTTGCTGCTACTACTGCTCTCGCTGCCATCTTGGGTATTCTTCGCTGGAAATATGGTCTTGCCGTCATCAACGACCGTCCGTTCGCTGCGATGGAACAAGTGAAAACACTTGAGCTTCTTGCCCTCCTCGACATATCCCTGAATGGCAACTTTGACGCCATCTCTCAGGCCCCAAACGTGCAGCTCGAGGATCTCAACCGGCCGCTCAATGTACTTCTTGTCCATCTGGTTCGCCCACCGGTCGACGTACCCCACCCAGCGCAGTTGGCTGGGAATACTCACACCAGGCCCGAATCCAACTCTCATCCTTCTCGCGGTGAACCGCTCAAGGGCATCTTCCATCTTCCATCCCTCTTGGCTAATCAAATAGCTGCACGCGATGGTCCCACTGCGTCCTTTACCGGCTTTGCAGTGCACAACGGCCACTCTCTTCCCTTCGGCGGGCTGCGACTTCCCCTCGCCATCTGGATCATCTAGTCTATGCAGCCAATTCCTCATACTTCCCATAATTGCTGGGATAAGCGCAAACGGCGGCGGATGATGATCCGGCCATGGGTAATGGTGGATTCGTCCATAGACCTCCGAGTCAGGGTATCCAGTTCCCTCAGCTCGGAATTCCCAAATCCACCAGTTCTTGCCATGCTTGGCGTCGAGGAAGTTCACTAACGCATCGAGAGGATTCCGATATGCACGTTGCGGATAGTTAGAGGAAGGTCCTGAGGTTGCAACGACTATGCGCAAAGAGAAAGTGTCAGAGGAGCCCACTGGATAATAGGAAGAACAATTCGAGACATCACTACTAGGAACGGACAGAACGCTCACGGTTGTCTGTGACGTAGCAGAGGTCCAGGCCGGCCTCAGGATGTCTTATTCTGGGTCCAGCAACAATCTGCCGGAGGATCGACGCCTGCATCAATCAAGGAGCCAAGCATTGTTGGTCAGTCTCGGCAAGGCGTCAAACAAGTTGCAGGATCTAGGGATGGGAGAAAGGGGCAAATCATAGAGACGTACCATTGGTATCAAGTGCCGTGAAGCAGCTGTATCTCTTTCGTGAGTAAATTCTCAGAAGACCCTTCGAAATGGTTTTCTCACCATTTGCAAAAACCCCGTTCTCGTTGAGGTCTCTCAGTTTCCCAGGCGAGCGGAGAAGGTTGCAGCTGATGCCAATCGAACAGGCGTAGTCCAGATCTTCTGATCAGTAGTCAAAATGGTTATGCACTTATTGTAGACTGATCACCTGAGGTTATCAATTAATTGTTTGAAGCAATCTAAATATTCCACGCAAGGAAAATGAAACGACAACATTCGAATAGTGATACTTGATAAGCGGGCCAGAACTGTCCAGTTGGGGATGCTTCTGGGGACAAGCGGGGATGATGTCACAGGCTCACAGCCACCAGAGCGGCGACCTGATTGTTTACAATTTACCTAGAACTACAGTGGTACTTGGGGTAGAAATAATAGGTATTAAGGAAGCGTTTTAATTTCTTCCTTTCTTTTTCCCGTGCTAGTCTATTAGGTACAAGAGAACAGAACCACGGTGAGTTCGAGCCTGATATATATCACAATAAATAGATGCTGTTATGGGATTATCCCGATGAGATGGGGTTCATCACTAAGTCGACAGTAGCAGAAACAGACCAATCTTCATATCAATGGTACAGAACCCGGTTTGTACATCGTTTCTTGACCCTCACGTTGCCAGCGTAAGGGCCTGTTTTCGCGGATCAACGCGATCAATTCCTTCCATGAAAGACCTGTTTCTCAGATCAGGCCATCTCATGGTTAAGTAGCGAGTCGCCGTATTCAGCTCAAGCAGCGCCGTATGTATCCGTCACAGGAATTGTAAAGTTCCGCATGGAAGATGTGATGTTGGCCGAACCCTCGGCATAGAATTCGGCTCCAGGTTTGAACCACGCGTGCATGACCTCGACCTTCCATGCGCGAGACTTCAAAGCTGTCAATTTAGCTTTGATGTGTTTGTCTCTGCAGAAGGTGTAGTCTGTCTCCACGTCAGTGCCGTTGCAAGTAGTGTTGAACCCGGGAGTGTTTGGAGTGGCGATCCCGAGAATATCGAATCGATAGGCACAACCCCCAGGAGAGCAGCCGGTATAAAAGTTGGAGACATGCCAGGTCAGGGCAGGGTTGGCAGGGTTCACGGTGTAATGGTGATAGGCGGGAGCTGCCAAGGTAATGTTGAAGATCGACAGGAGCGCGACCAGCAGGAATGTAGCCAACTGCATGTTGACCGTTGACGTGGATGATCGCGGTATGAAAGTATAGACAGATCGAGGTGACTCAGATATATACGTGCAGGAGGTATATACACGGGAAAGACAGATATTAAGTATGAGATTATATCAACAAAAAGCGTGGCGACAATCCATTAAGGACTTTACTATGAAGAATGAAGTGTGCAATGGAGAGGAAGAAGGGTGCTGAAAGAGGAGACGACGTGATCAAGAATGTCTGCGACACATATATAGCCAAACAAGTTCTAGGGCAGGCAAGCATGGGAGGGACCTGCTTCTGGCCTGCTGGCGTAGGTGGAGCAGACTTTCCAGCGTCCTCAAGCTGTCAGTCAATTAGAATGGGAAACATCATAATGACCATGCACCCTTGCCGTGTGCCTAGGTTTCCAACCGCGGATGTCGATCTCCTGCAAATCTGCGAGGTGCACGAAGCTGTGTCACTGGATGTCTCGTCTGGTTTCTAATTATAATCAGCAGGAGAACCCGCGTTGTAGGTGTAAGCGAGTACCGAAAACCAAAGAGACCAATGTCTGCCGTGCGATGAATCCATTGCAACCCATTGTCGTCTCAAGAACTGATCATCAAACAATGGACTGACTAGACTGGCTTTTCGCTCCGACGATCGCAAACCGAGGATCCATGTATAGTTCGGCACTTGTCATAGTCCAGTGTTTGAGACGTTCCTCCGCCCCTTGAACGGCTACTCGGATGCTCCGTAAAGCGTGAACTATGAAGGAGCGGTGCAATGAACCATAGTTCAAAATGTCGACTAAGGTTCGATCGCAAGAGTATCAGTTCTCAGAGCTTATGTTGGCCCGCAATCCTGCCGGCTACCAGTATTGTATGCATTGTTGCATTGGGTTGTTCCCTGCATAATTTCATAATTTCACAAGGGATCAGTATCACTTGACATGGATATCGCGATCAAACCGGCGACCAGGTTAAGTGCCTCCTGAATCGTCTATCCTCTGAGTTCGCTCCTGTTGATCATTGTGAGACTTTCGACTAGAGTTCGAAGTTCGAACCGAAGTTTGAGTGTTTGGCCACCGATTCTTGGCTTCAACCAGGGTCAATGCACTGGGGGTTTCACTAAAAGTTTAGGCGATCTCCTTGACGTTCCATTGTGTCTCACTCGGATTCAAGCAGTGCTACTCCCGACAGCCACCACTAGTCATGGCTAAAATATCTGATGGACACACCGTGAAGAGTAATGATCACGAGCAAACCCCTTGGGGCCAGTCACCGACTTGCTGACAAGTGACAACTCTGCTACTCGAAAGACAATTCCAGTGGTGGTATCATTTGTCATTTCCTCGTATTCGACGGGTATACAACTGTACTATACAAGGTATAAATTGTGATACATATACAAATGGACGACAGGGTCCCTTCTCAGCCCCTCGTCTCCAATTTTTAGCTGGGTTGCGTCTCATCAGGCTTCAACTGATCTTCCGGCACAAGGCCCCCTGGCTCATAGTCCATCCAGCCCTCCTCTTCTTGGGCCTTGGCCATCGCCAAGCGTCTTCGCTTCCTCTTTCGTCTCTCCTTGCTCGCCGCTCGACGGGCTTCCTTCGAGAGAAGAATCCGCATGGGAGGCTCCCGCATGCGACGCTCGGAGCGGTCTGCATATCTTGGAGGCGTCTCGGACCCTATCTTTCTGATGGAAACCGACTGGTCTGAAGCTCCTTCATTGCGCTCAATGAGATCCTCAGTTGGGACATCCTGCATCTGCGGATCGTTTCTCAATTGGATCGCAAATTGATCGTTGGACTCGGAGCATACGCTCCTGATCTCTTGGCGCGTGTATGCGTCGGGACGGAATCCCCGCGCCACCAAATCCTGGTAGTACCTGTACGCCGATTCAAAATTGCCAGCATCTAAGCACATCATGATTAGGTGTTCAAAAGTTTTGTCATTCGGGATCACTCCAAGCGAGGACATCTCCTTTACCGCAAACATGCCGGCTTGAATGTTCTTTGCTCTGCGAGCCATCCCTATAAGGGTGTTGTAGATCGAAACGTCGGCCTTGCCTGGACACAAGGTGTAGAGCTCCTGGTAGAGTGAGATCCCTTCATCAACCGCAAACGGATCATTGAAGGATTCATAGTCGCAAAGCTCGATGACCACATGCGCGCATTCCATCGGGATCGGGTATTTCAAGGACTTCAGCTTCTTGAGAATAGCCCATGCCTGCCGTGGACTAGTCCTAGTCTGAACCATGTAGTTGAAAATGGCCCGCGTCGAAGTGTGTTCCAATTTGATACCGGCTTTGTGCATCTTACAGAGAATTTCAAACGCCGACGAGAGCTTGCCGGACTTGACATGCGCCTCTACCGTCTTCTCGTAATCCTGCAAGATGAGCGGGACATCACTTTCCGAAAGAAACCGGATCACTAAAGAAGCGAGCTTCGTGTCGCCCTTTTCGGCCGCGACCGTCAGAGTGTCCCTACACAGAACCTTCGAAGGACGGAGGTACCCCAGTTGTACCATTTGCGTCCATATGTATCGAGTAGTTTCGAGATGAGATGCCGCGACTGCCACATCCAGCACATACAGCCACAGTTCCGTCGTCATGTCATGACCCTGACTTGTCCGCTTGCGCATCTGCCGGAGAACTTCGTCGAAATCCCCAATGTCGCAGAGATTGTATATTAACAGACTGTGTAGCCAATTCTCGACCATGATCTCCTTTCGCTCCATGTGCGCGATATGGTCTAGTGCGAGCTCTAATTGGTTTTCTCTCAAGAGGCCGGCCACCACGTAGTGCCAGCCAGCGGGACTAAGAGGCAGCCATCGATCTCGGAGGGTGCGCAGTATTTCTTGACGCAGTAGGTAATCAGGGTGAACAGCGAGAACCTATGAATATCGCCCGTGTTAGTCAAGAACCCTGCATTTCGTAGAGCTATGCCGTTAAGACGCAATGAGACTGCCATACCTGCAATGCAGCATGAAGTGTACCGGAATCTGCAGGTATCCCATCCTTCTCCATCTCCGAGAGTAATTGGCGAACAACTTCCGGCGAACCGCGCTCCGCATCGGAGTTGGCAAGAATCAGCGCTCGGTAGTGTCGTACTTCGGGGCGCACATGGCGATCTCTGATCAATATTCGTAATATCTGCGACGCGCTGAGGATTTTGGGGCTTCCAGTTGCTAGGTCTTGAAGCCGATTCTCAAGGTCCGACGTCGACCGCTCTTCGAGATTTTTGGGAACGCCGGCTGATGGAGGTAGGGTAATGCTGGTATTGAGCGGCGGACTGACATGTTCCCGGCGCCCAGAATCCAATTGTGATTGTTGCGAAGACTGATATGCTATTGACGACCCGCTGGGGTCATTCCCGTGGCTTTCAGTACCTCTTTGCGCCTTTGGCTCCCCACTACCTTTTGTAGCATCGCTGTTCAGGCATCTTCGCGGAGTAGTTGCAATTGCCGATGAGAAATCGTGTCTTTGCGGCCTTTTCCCCCCGAATAGCTGCCTCGCATTATGCGGAGCACTGATCCGAAATGATGGACATAGACAATACCAGAGTCCATCGAGAATGACCGTACTTCGGCGCATCTCGAGCCCATGCAAAGCGGAGTTGTCTTTGCGCATCGGGAAGCCGAAGAAGAGAAGCACAATCACGTGACTTATGACACCGTCAGAGACATGCCCAAAATTGCAACCAGGACAGACGCAACTGACATAATTTGAATAATTTGATTAATTTGATAAATTTTCGTACTTTACAGACAGAATCTACTGAACGACCATGTTCAAGAGCAGTAATCCCATTGAAAAATAAGTGCCACCGAGCCATATACGCCAAGGCCATGCTCGACAAACCCACCAACCGGTCCTTCCTAGCAATTTACATGCTCGATCTCCCCGGGGTATCGATTGTTCTCTCTCTTCGTCTCGTTATACGCAATATCATATCCATATCTAACTGCCGCCACGACCCCGGCCGCGACCCCGGCCGCCACGGCCACCACCACGGCCTCTGTCGCTCCTGCCCTCACGGCCACCGCGGTTGCGATTCTGTGGCTGGTTTTGCTGCTGTTCCTTGACCATCTCCACGATCTCCTCTGGGATTCGCAAGTACTTGATCTAAACGCTCATTAGCTTGGAACGAGAGCATGTCTCATGTAGGATGAATGTGACATACATTGTTTCCTCGCACGTAGACCTCTGGTAATCTGAAGAAGCGGTCGCCTTCGGGGCTAGTCTGAACAACCTCCTTGAGTATTAAGTTCATCCAGTTATCGCAGTTGGCAAGATGTCCGTTCAGTGTCTCGCCGTTCTTGAGCTCCACAAGCATGGGATGGCCTTGCGCAGCCGTCAGAAGACCCAATGGTAACTATGAGGTGCGCAATATCTTAGCGACATGAGATGTAAAATGCTGGAGCAATAACTATGTCCCGTGGGGTTGTTACTCACCATTGTGAGGTTGGGCAGATGTGATGAGGAATAGGTTGGCTGGGACTGAGCTTTAAGGCGGCACAAAGAGCGCCTTTCCTGGTCAATGAAATAAGAAGAGAGATATTGGAAAGGACAGTCAATAATATTCGTGATACAATATCAGTGAATCAGAGCGAAGTTATGTGATATGTCCAAGGATATCAAATAAGCTCCACATGAGCTTACAAGCGGCGGGTGGTCGCAACTGCAGAGACCCGGAGAAAGTGAAGATCCGATATTGGCGATACAGTATGAGAACAGTTGGGAGGCTCATATTATTATTGTAATTTCCATTCTGATACCCTTCCATCCAACCCATTGTATGTCCGATGGGTCATTCATTATCGCGCAGATCAATTACCATTGGTACACCGCACGGTGACACATCCTGAAGTACTTTGGCCTCCAATCAGTGGCTTCAGGTGAACCCGTGCGATTGTAAGTAGATACCATCACATACATTTGTGTAGAAATGACGAATTTCAAGGATTCAATTGGTAAAATACATAGAAAGGACGTTGTGCAGGTTCTCAATACTGACTGCACCGTCAAGGCATTGTGTACGCCTCTACAATTTTGTTCGCTTGGCCGTATCTTCCTCCTCAACCTCGTCCTCGTCGTCCTCTACCGTGAACTTCCGCTTGACCCGTTGATCTCTGCTAGTACCGCTGGGTCCAGCGCCTGCATCATCCGAAACTGCGGCAGCTGGCGACTCTTCTTCCCCTCCTCTAGCCTTGAGTTTCTCTTCCCGCTCCGTAAATTCTTTCAAAAGAACTTCGTAGCCTTCTTCAACATTTGACACTGTCTCTTCGAGTTTCTGGATGCGCTCATCAAGATCCAGCTGGATCAGGATGTCCTTGGATCGTTTGTACAGGCGCTGCTTGGTGAGCATGCGCCACCAGTAGTAGCGCCGCTCGTTAGGATCCTCCGCTCTGTGCTTCTTAATCAGGAGCCGCGACATGTTTGCTCCGCCGGCATGTCTGTTTTTGAGAGGGATCTGACTCAACAGGAACATTTCGAGAATGTGAGCAAACTGTGTAGAATCAATCTTGTATGATGTACGAATGTCATGGAGGAGTTTGACTGGAATGAGGGCGGCCGTAGGAACACGTCGTGGTCGTTGGTTTCTTGAGTGCGCCTCGTACGGGTTGGGGTTGATGTTCACCTCGTGCTTGATGAATTCAGGACGCAGTATGTGGTAGTCCGCAGAGTCCCGCAGAACATCAAAGGCTTCGTTCGGATCTTCGACGGTCAATTCAACAACAGTGGGGTCCTGTACACACGCCGAATGGATGGTGGTATACAAGTGTCTGCCATGTCCTGAATTCTGATGAGGAGGGAGGATAAGAAATTGGGCGATACGCAGTCGCGATGGGAGCTGTGAAGGATGAATTTCCGGTCCAGAGGGAAATGGATCGTCCTTGACAACAGGGACTTGTGTCTTGTCCCTGCGGTAATGCCACCAGCGATATGTTGTCGCATATCCAACGATGGAGTATTCGGAAGCAGTGGGTGTTGGAGGTTTCACTTTCTCATACCTGTAGGGGACTCATTAGCGGCTGTAATGGGTCATCACGTCATGGAACAGCAGATCCACATACACAAAGTAGACAGTCCATCTTTGCAGTGTCCACTCGGGATCTTCTGTAGCAAGAGGGGTGCCTGCCTCGATGAAGAGCGAAACGAAGATTTGAGCGCGATCCAGCAACCGTCGAACTTCAGGGTTAGCCAGCGAGCCGGCCCAGATCTCATAGTTTCTATTCCGAGAAACATAGCTGTGTACCAACTTGCCCGGGGGTTTGAAATCTTTCGCGGCTTTATCCTCTAGCACGGCCTTTTCATAGTCGGGGAGGGTGACAAAGGCCTCTACAAGTTGATGTCTTGATTAGAAAGAAACCGAGCACTATTAGTGAGCGATACCAACCTTCTGGGATCCATGGTTTCAATGTCTTCAGAATATCCACTGCCGCAATGTCCTCAACGGGCTTGAACTTCTCATCGTAGGAGATGTGAAGGTGCGGGCGGAGGTCATGCGCCGCGAACCGTAGGCGGATAATCAAGCCCTTGTAACCGAAGATGCGCTCATCATCGCCGAAGATGGGGTATGTAAATTGAGGATGAAAGCTAGAGACTGTCTTCAGCTTCTGTTCGTCGGGTTGAACTATGGTAATGTTGACGGCGTCGTTCGCATCGCACGTCCCTGGAATAATGCATTTCACGATCAGCTGGATCCAGGGCAGTGAGGAAAAGAATTGACGTGGAATGGGGTGGGAAAATACAGTCGCCTTCGTTTTCCATACTGACACAGTATAGACAGATGACAGGGAAAGTGACGGCAACAGAGTGAAAGACCGAAGCTGAAGATAATCTCTCGTCCTTCTTCTCAACGCGTGTTGCGGATGATCGCGTTGCGCGGAGAGCTTAGCAGGTATAACCTTTCTAGGATTAGCGCCATTAAGAGCTGTTGCTTAGTGTTACCCGTCCATCTATCATGAAGCTGCAGCTAGATGCATTGATGGACAGATTTTAGAAAGGCACTTCTATTGATAACTTAAAAGTCTCGTCATTTCAGCTAACTGGATCTTCATCTTGCTTCTATAGGTAGTGTATGACGACCCATTGTCTCATAAGTTTGCTCAGGTATCCCCGCTCAAGGCTGTGTTTATGGCAACGGGAACAATGCATCCTGCTCCGAAGTCAAATTGAGAGGTAATATCGCGACAGATTTCCGAGCTCTTTTGGCCAGTGAATCAGCTGCCACGTTCCCTGGGACTCTTTTGTGCCCTGGAACCCATCGCACCTCAAGCCGAATACCCAGTTTGTATAGCAGCAATGCTGCTTTGATGAATGACGATTCTATATTTTCCGCAATACTTGTTTCGTAGGGAAACTTCGAAATCTCTGTCAATGCTGCTTGAGAATCAGTGAAGATTGTCATTTTCCTCAAACAGTTGTGCTTTTGGGCAATCTCCGCAGCCACCTCGAGTGCTGCTCTGATTGCGAAGAGCTCGGCTAAGTTAGAGGAGTGGACTCTTGCTAGACCGAATGCTCTAAACTCCCATTCTTCTTTGTTAGGCCATTTTTTGTACACCACAGCAGCCGCAGCAGAGGTTCTTTTGGCTGGATCAGCTGAAGTATGAGGGCGAGTTCTTGCAAAGGAGCTGTCGACCCAGAAAACACACGAGTCCTGAAAATCTCGCGCAGGTTGGCTGCAGCTCAGATGCTAATAGCGCATAGTCTCGGGCGTATTCGCGCTCCTGTATCACGATATCCCCGCGAAAACTGCTATGCAAGGGGACATACAGTTGGAGTCCTTCACCATCTCTGAGATACTTTTCATATTGGGATGGTGGAGATGATTCTTGCTGAGGTGTAACCCGGCTAGGTTCGTCTGATTGAGGGCTAGCGAGGGTTGCAGTCGCCGATTTAGCAAGAGCTTGAACTTGCTCGGTTTGTCGAGCGACCCGAGTCAAGTACTGCGCTACTGATTCCATCTTCAGAAATTTAGCAGATTCGTATGCAGGCTCGTTTCTTCATGAAGAGGTAATGTAGCTCCAAGTTATCTAAGTAATACTACCTGTCGGGGTGACGGCGGATTAGGAGTCAGCGAAGAGGATACCATGGTTAAGTGCACGGTGCAGCGAATGTGTGTTGGTAACCGTTGTATCATTCGACCTCACTCGAATCTGTCTGTGCATCAACCACCATCATCAAACAGCAAGGACGGCCCTGCGTTCCTTGAATTGAAAAGGCCTCGTTCTACGCCGAGCTTCAACTGGATCCGCTCCAGCGTCGCAGATCTCTCCACGCCTTCTCCAACTCGGATAACTGTCAAAATATTATCTATACCACCATAACTCTCATATACGATCCCTACTATGGAGTACATCATCCAGATATCTTTTTCAGTCGAGCGTTGTTGGATTTTGGTGATGACTATCTATTCGGTTCGCAACCAAAAGATGGCCGATTACCGAAGCACGCAGCCCAATCGGGGTACAAGCTACTCTGATTTAATTGAGGCGACAACAAATGTCACCCTTTTTGTGGAGATACCCGGGGAAGTACGCACCACACCGGACAGCTACGTGCCCTTGGATGCGGACGACGAGACCGTGAAGCTCCTTCGGGAAACGTTCAGGTACCTTCCATCCGATGGTAGAGTTAACCTTGCCGGGGATATCATTCAGGCTGGGGCGGGCAATAAGTTGCACCAACTTGCCCAGAGTATCGTTTCATGCCTCCTCAAACCGATGATGGTTGCCGGCACCAAGAAGGTGGAGATACCGCGATTGGGCAGTGAAGAATCGACAGAGCATCCTGCCAATATGAGGGACGAGCACGAGTCGATGACGCTGGCCCAACGACAGCTACAAGAAGATGCGCTTCGCAGAGATGGCAATAAATGTGGTTTATTGGGTCATTACGATGTTCTCTCAGAGGAGTTATATCCCGACGAGATTACTGCTGACCTAGAAACTGCGTATATTGTGCCTTTTGCTCTATCCAAGTTCAAAAATGAATATGAGAAACAGCAGATAATAGCTGTTTGGACAAACATATTTCGTTATTTCCCGAGCGTTCGTTGACTTCGTTCCCAGCTGAACTTCTATTACCAGGACATTAACTCCATGGTAAATATGATCACGCTCTCCCTACCTCTGCACACCCAATTTCGACGATTCAGTCTTGCACTCGAACAGGTAACAGGCACCATGAACCAATATCGTATCAAGACCTTCCGTGGTTTTGCAACAGCCCCTCGAGCTGAGCTGCCAGCGAGTGGAACTATCAGCATGACGGCCCACGATGGACGCTTCCCGTTGGCTTCACCTATTTTTCTTCTTCACTGTGCCGTTGCGAACATACTTCATGCCGCCGGCCAAGGTACGAAGATCGTCCGAGTGCTACGGGACTATGATGCGACTGGTGGCCTCGCTAGCAAGGGTAGTACCAATATCCCGCAGCTCTTATCTGTGACTAAACTTGCATTGGTGCCCCATGTTCGTCGTTTCGATGGAATGGGTTCGACAGACGACTGAGATAACCAACATTGACAGGCCCCCTCCATACCACTTCGTCTTACGGAGCTAGTAGCTACAATGAATTGCGGTCTTCCCTACCGCATGACATCGGGCCCGTTGGAACCCTAATTCACGATGACCACAACCGCCGAATTAAGCGACTATTCAAATCTGATTTCTTATCTTGGGTAGACTCAATAGCATTGGTAGGAGAGGCAACATAACAGCCTGTAAATCTGTTAAACAGAGTTCTGCTGGAAAATGTCAACAAGATTACTCTGATCTTTGGAAGTCTATTCACCATACTAAATCCAGATCAGTGTGTTTCAATCAGAGTAATGGCAGTGACAAAAGCAGAGTCAATCGCCTTGATGATGGTCTAATCTGGTGCCGAAGACATTCACAATCATGTTCTCCCTTGCGAGATGAAGAGCGGCAGCAATTCACATGCCGGTAGTTCCCAGCCAAGAGCAAGGCCCTGAGAACTTGCATTATTCACTCTCTAGCCGAGCTGCCAGCCTGCAAGGACCGACTCCAGCGCCGCAGATCTTTCCCATCATCTCCATCTCGGATAACCGTCAAAAGATTACACCTTTGTAACTATGATATGTAATCCCTGGACAGGACTACCATCGTCTGGACCGTCCAGCGGTATTGGATTCTGATAAAAGATGGCTGATGAGAGAGTCTGCCGTCCAGTCCGGACCTAATCGAGTCCGATATGACTGCGACGAATCAGAAGCCGATAACAGTCATTTTCACAGAGATGCCCGATGACGTTCAGGCGATGCTGAAGGACTATGTGCCATTGGGCGAATCATGACACTGATGAGCACAAGAGCCAAGAAGGCCGGTCGAGGTAGGTCTTGCAATGTTTCCCCTCCTATATCACAGTGGTTGATTGACGATCCCTAGGAAATGAATACCTATAGGGAATGGCTATCTTCAAACCTTCCCCAAACTATTCGGCCAGAAGATCTTGAGATTGAAGGTCTCTTCGCTGGATCGACGGTCATTCTATTCACTGTCCCGATTCAGGCATGGTCCTTTCTACCGAAAAACCATGCATACACCTTTATCTCGATGATGAATTCTGCACCGCTCGTCACTCTGAGCTTGGCTACCTTCAGCCTCCCGGGGTCGGGGCCACCGAAGATGAATGGTATTATTACCGCGGGCAGCGCCTGCTCAGTCTCCTTCCAGGAGTCGATGGATATGTGGCATGGATTGCTGCACAGAGTGCATTTCTTCGAGGGAATCCGTACTGTATTTACCCCCTGTTTCTGAGACGGAATCGACTGTGGAAGGCGCAGCTCGCTTGCGCGAGCTTAAGGACACCTTTCCCCTGGTTTTGGAAGAAATATAGGCGATGGACCTGTACAGTAACGGTTCTCTCTCAGTCAGGTAGTCCTGAAGCTTCTTTGTCAGGCATTCAAGCATCACCACTGGACTTCTAAAACTCATGAAGGTGGCGGGGGACAAGGCGGACGCGGTCACTCCTTTGCCATGGATAGGGATTGAAGACTCCCTAGAGTGTCTTCCTAGTATCGTGGACGAGTAAATGACGCATGGGGAGCTGAGTGAGGAACTACGACCTAGTCTCTCACCTACTCCACTAGCAGTCGTCTTTTACGCTGCTTGACCCTCACTTCGGTAGGCGCCGTTTCTGCACATTGACACCTCCTTGGTGAGCAATGACTTAGACCCTTTGTCAGGGGTTGGCAGCGCCCTGCGCTCAGGCGGGAGCCTCCCAAGAGCCTTAAATGGTAAGGGATCAATCTTACGTTTTTGGGGAAGGCCTTGCGGCTAATGACAACAACCAGGCTGGAGAAAGTCCACAAGTGGCACTGGGACGGGGCACTGGCAATCCTCAAATGGCCGGGATGCACCTGCAGTAGGTCGAAGCCCCGAAGCCCAACGCGGAAGATGTAGAAAATCAAGCCGGACCTGGCGGTAACGGTGCCCGTGGCGAGCCTGCAGCTCCCGGTCAGACAAATTCGACCCCAGGAGCCCTGCAGAGGAGCCAGCCTGACACTGGAGGGAGAGCTGGCGAGATGATGACAACAACCAACGGTTTACCATCGACATCGACCATTTCTTAAAGTTCATATATTTCATCTACTATGACATTGACTGCACCTCACTGTACACAGCGCAGACATGGCAAACAGAGCTCCTCGACCACACACGGGCAGAGCCCGGCTTGATTATGGCACCGCACATATCATTGCCTAACGTCCGCGAGAGGCTGCACATAAGAGAGACAGGGATAAATGTGTCATATCCTGCGAATACGATGTTAACAAAGAGGATGAGTATCCTGATGAAGTGACTGCCGACTTGGAAGGGACACATATTCTGCCATTCTAGCTAAATCCGAAAACGCCGAGCATCGGGACTCTAACAAAATGCGTCCATTCTTTGTGGACTGCGTGGTCGAAAAGCCCCGAATATGAGAAACAGCAGAAAATCACCGTCTGGGAGAATATTTCTTGCTATTACCCCAGCGTTAGTTCCGGGCTCGACTTCTACTACGAGCATTAACTGGGGACAACTGAATTGCATTTGACACCAGCGGCTGAGCAGGAGGGGCAGACATTCAAACAAACCAGCAGCAAGCAATATATCCATCAGACGCTGATGGCATTTCTCAACGCGGTAGTTATAAATCCCCAACTCAGAGAAATGTCAGAACCATCGTCAGAGTTGTCGTCCCCTAGAAAAGCTTCATTTTATCTCCTCAAACTGTGACCGGGGTATATGACGTCTCGCATTCAAGGTTGACTTCAGTCAAGGCAGCATGGAGACCCCCGCAGTGGCTATATGTACGGTCCCACTGGGGTGAAGAAGTATTCGTAACCGTGGAAACCAAGGCTCATATCCGGAAAAGAAGCTCTACATGCAAGAAAGTGCTGAGATGGTCACTTGGATAGTCAAGGGAAAGCGCAAGGGACACACAGTGACCCCCACAGAGCCCGGGGTCTATATCAAGATCATTGAGGCTAAGGAGATGTATGTATACATTGGCTCCGCTACTTCGATCGATGGTGGCTTGAACAAGAGACGATGTGATCACGAAAAAGTCAGTCGGTCTAGATAAAACGTCCTATCACAGAAGACTTATGTTCCATGAAAATGGAGTAAAAAAAGTCCCTGAGATTTGGTACACTCTTCCTAATGCCATGGTCATCCAATCTCTCAAGCGCAAATGTCGAGTTTACCAGAAAAGTATGCCTCCTAGCAGAGGCAATCTTTGCGAGTATGCTTGGGGCATATAAGAGCGGACCCCCCTAACGACTAGGTAGTAAGTTTATTTTCCTTCAGCATTGTCAGCTGGCTACTAATACTCTATGTCATTAAGACACCTTCTAGTCTCCCAAGACCGACATGAAGTATACCTTACCTAGGCATCATATGATGCATCCTATATCAAATACCTTCAAGGAAACACCTCTGGGAATGTTTTAAAGAGGAAATCGGTCCTTTCGACACTCTAGATCATGACTACATGAGTCGACTTGCGCGATATATCGGATGTTTCTGTCTTCAGATCACCGAGCATATGTCATGATCCTACCACAATCTTTACACGGGCGGTTTGGATGGTTCAGCCTGACACTGGAACAATCTGACACCCCATGATCTGTACCTGACTTGTGACAATTGTTGTCTCTGTTCCTAAGCGAGAAACAACCGGAACAATGAGAAACAGAAAGGACCGACATGAGCGAGGCAATGGGAGGCTGCGGGAGGCTGCGGCGTCAAAGACTTACAACTGCGCTGTGTGTGATGTGTCTTGTCGCGACGCGGTTCCTTCAGGGGGCATAACAAGACGAAGCGCCGAAGAAAGGGATAGGGATGATTATCAGGAGCTCAAAGAGCTAACTCAATACCACGCGGGGGCAACTTATCAATGCCTTCTTCTACAGGTTCCGTGAGTCTGCCAGTCAACATATGGTTAAGTCCCCCTTCGTGTTACTGGATTTGAAGCTCTTACAGGCAATGATGATGGTCCAGGGGCTGTTGACCCAGATGACCTAGTATCTTCCCAGCATGTTAATGATGAGTTACGTCTCAGGTTACATTGCATATTTGCAGAGCCTCTTAGAGGCATCTAGCAGAGGACTGAGGCAGAGTATTGGAAGAAAAAATGAATAGCGCAGCAGGGCCTCAGAAAGAACTGGTTGTTAAAACTGTTGTCTCTGTTCTTCAATAATAACCGTGTTCTTCAATGGAACATGCGAGCGTTTCCAATGCCGACAAGCCTTCAGGTTCACTGTGCGCCGTTGCGCACATACTCCATGCTACCGGCGAGGGCGAGAGGATCGAAAAAGTACTACACGGCTATGACGCTACTGGCGGCCTTGCTAGTAACAGTAGTAGCGATGTCGCACAGCTATATCTGTGACGAAGCTTGCATTGTTGCCCACGATTCAAGAGCCCAGGATGAACTTGAAGCCCGCGATACCTGAGTCGAGTGATATCAAAGAGGCCCACTTGAACCACACGACAAGCTATCTGCCCGATGAATTGAAGGTAAAACATAGCTGAATTCTAAGTGTCCTCGCCTTCTCCCTCCTACCTGTCTTCTCTTCAATGTGCTTGATCGGTTGGCGATAATTAAGTAGTACACTGCCTTTTTTGATGCCAACCTTGACTGGGCGGCTGCCATGTATGAAGATGTGGCCGAGGCAATGTTGGGCCAAATAAATGCATTTGATGACATTAAGCAGGAGCGATTCTGACCATAGGATTGCCAGTGAATCAGAAGTCGCAAAGACTATGATAATGGGTCATGCTGAATAAATTTGAGGTTTTCTTCACCAAATGTTTTAGTAGACTGCTCAGTATGACCAATTCTTGGTGGGATGCTGATCAGGATTCAGGGCTTGGCCACGTCTGCTATCCTCATGCTATTCAGCTTCTACTGGATGACCTCGTTACCAGCTCTGTGATATAGTTGCATTGAAATCGTACTTGAAGCTCTTGGGACTTGAACTCGATGCCTTGACTCCTTAGGCTTCAACGTCAGCACGTGCAAAGCTAGATGTCGATCTGCAATTAGTTATTATCAAGAAGGACTTGAGGAACAAAGAACCAGCTTGTTGGCGAACTTATATCCATGTCGTGCATCAGAATTGACGAAAGGGAGATGTCCCTGCTTGTCTAGTATTTAGTCCCAAATTTGAAAAATCACTGCTATTGCTCGACTATCTACGGAGTTAAATCTCCTTGTTCCTGAAACATTGTCCTCTTCCGCCTTGTGGGTCTTGCCGCCCTCTCGGACTGTTCCCTTTGCGGCGGATCGCAATCTGCTTGGCCACGCCACGTTTAGTCGTCCGTCTGCGGTGTCTCCTTCATATCCCAAACGGAGTAAATTCTGTATAGACTATCTACTCCTCGATCGGACTCATTCATATTCTCAATCGAACAGTTCTGTCAAGGCTCAGCAATAGCCTCAGCGCCTACTGACACCCAACCAGCGCAAGCTATTCGACCAATCGCGCAACTGACATCATGTTTGAGGTCCTATAAAGCGGAGACAAAAGCTCTTGGGACGAAAGGTCGACAATGGAGGGACTCTTCACTTTGCTCGCTTTGAGCATTGTGATGGCAATTACGTGAGCATTGAGATCATATTTTGTTCATCTTCTGGGAAGAATAGAAAACTAATGGACATCCCGTCTTGATGTAGATCCTTCGTTGTTGGCTCATTACCGCTCGCCTTTACACTTTCCCCTTCGCAGTTGCGATTGATTTCTTCCCTTGGAATGGGAGTTTTGGTTGGGACATCTTTAATTGTTATCATTCCGGAGGGCGTGGAGACTCTTTACAGTGCGAACTCGCATAATGATCGAAAAGGTCTCAGCACTCGTTCAGTGACGGCCGTGGAATGGCAACACCGATCATTTCCGGCTGTCGCTGCGGTCGATTTCTCCAGCTCGAACAAGGAAGCAGCTTCTACATTTCCACTCACACAGACAGTGCACGTTACGCGTGACGACCAGTCTGAATTGCGGCAGCGAGAGGACGAGGGTGAGTCGAATAAGGATGAACACAATGGACATAAAGAAGAGAACTCTTCACATGCTTGGATTGGAGTTGCCCTGATCAGCGGTTTTATCCTGATGTACCTCATCGATAAACTACCCGATTTCGCAACGCCTTCAAAGCAACAAAGACCGCCCTACCACATTTCTCTGGACAATCTGGGGTCCGGATTGCGACGCAACCCCTCCCCCTCCAGAGAAGGAGGTTTGTTGGACGCCGGCAGTACCTCTAGTCGAAGCCATAGCTTTGCGACAACCACCGGTCTGGTGATCCATGCGGCAGCTGACGGCATCGCTCTGGGTGCATCTACATCCGACACCGGGTTGAGTTTCATCATCTTTCTGGCTATTATGGTGCACAAAGCTCCCGCGTCCTTTGGTCTTACATCGGTGTTGCTCAAGCAGGGCGTGTCTAGTCGGACCGCGAGAGCGCATCTGGTGGTCTTCAGCCTGGCGGCTCCCTTTGGTGCATTGGCAACATTCCTCTTCGTGCGGATCGTGGGCTCGGGCTCTAACAATGACGAGGCAGCCACTCTGTGGAGGACTGGAATGTTGTTGCTATTCTCTGCTGGAACTTTCCTGTAGGTTATCATCCGGTCTCGGTCACTGCAAGAGACAATTGTGACTAACCATCTTCAGTTACGTTGCCATGCATACAATGCAGGAGAACAGCCCGAACTCGGAGTTGCGCGAACTACCAATGAATGGATACGGCGATTCCAGAGACATCCCTACTGAATCCGACAAGTCCATGCGGGATCTGGTCGCTTCTGTCATCGGCATGATACTGCCGCTGTTTTTGCAACTCGGTCACGCTCACTGACGTGTTTCCGCTTTGAAACCTCTTGCCTTCTAATTCCTTATGTCTCTGATCTAATTTGGCTAGAAACCCGGCCCCAGTCTGGTTTCAGACTTGTGGCTCCTCGGCGAGCCTAGAAGAATGAACTCATGGCGATCTTGAATACTATAGACTTTGCGCTTTCGAACGAAGGATTCATCTGTTTCTCAAGAGCTATAGCCACTTTTTAAACCGTTCCCCCTGTTTTGTGCTATACCAGTATCTCATTCCACTGGAAGAGCTGTGGCTCTGCTCATGACTTACTGTATCATTCTAAATACTATATGCGACTGTTGTTTGTGTGTTTTGTGCCGGTTCAACTGCTGTATAGTATAGCCTTGTGTTCAACGCCTTCACATAGATGATGGAATAATTCGTCATGTCCGGACGATACCTGGGACAATTTTGTTCCATGGTTGAAGATATTATTGTTTGCCAACCCAGGGACTTGGGACAACCATATCACCAAATCTGGGAATTTGAACGGCCAGAGAGTCCATGGATGAGATAAATATTTGGAGGGCGGATTCTGTTGCGGCCCAGAATGTTTGCAGATCCCAAGCGTCTGATAAGATAATCGAAAAGAGCCATCTGACAGTCCATGTGCACATCAGTCATTTCACGCAGATATAGACAGGCATGTGGTGGCTGAAGTACGTCTGATTCTGCAATTTTCTTCGCCTCCTTTGACGACAGACTTGCGAAGCTTGGAGGTTCGCCTGTGCCACTGCGCCAATACGAGGGGTTATTATACCTCTGGATTCTTCTCTTCAGCTAGCATACTAAGAAGTTTACTAGTGGCGAAGAATCTGTGAAGGAAAAGATAACTCAGATGTACATATCTATATGATTTCTTGCTCACTGTGATTGCGTCTGTTAAAGATTGCGCAAAGTTTGTCATTACCACTATTTTTTCGCCTTGTGGAACCTGGTATCCTCTTATCCGTCAACTGTGGAGACAAGATGATCATCAGAAATCATATACCTCCGTTCAGCATCGTATCATTTGAAAGCAGATGAAGATTGGTTGATTTTGTTCGCCTACTATTGGCACTCACTACAGACTTGACTGGTTTTTCTTTCCGAAGCTGAGAGACCTAGCTTTTCATGTGCCATATCAAAATCTGCGGAGGACTATCTACAAAGTACCTATTTCCCCCAAGTCTAGACGGGAGTGGCCCAGATACCGCGTACTTAAGCCTCTAGGGTAATTGACTATGGATTATGCCATTCATAAGGCCCGCACCTGACCCGGCAAGACGTCCACCGCATGATCCAGACTCCAGACTCCAGACGCTACCTCACTGTCTCTCCTCCCGCCAGTCTTAGGACCGCTTGCTTGCCGTTTTGATATACATTCGGCCTTCTTTTTCAGGCATTTGAATGGCGTCAAAGTAGCCGCTGTTGCTGGCTGTAGCTGACCTTCTCCCGTTTTCCTCCTCGAGTAATTTTTTCCCAACTTCACTCTCTCAAAAGAAAAATAAAATAGAATACTCCCATTTCTTTTCAGTTTTCTTCCTATCCCCCCTATTTCTTTCTTTCGTCAGAGCGCTTCCTCTAGCGCTCTTGCATCGGAGTCTGTCCGTTTGTCATCATCTCACTTTCTCTTTCCTCACTCAATATCAGTCCTCCTTTGACCTCCTCACAACCTCTCTGTCTTACAATATTTGTTTTGCTCCCTCTCAAGAGAAGCGATACGTTCTCTATGATCGAAGTCGATCCTCAAAAGGCTTTTGCAAGTCCATATCGATAATCATCGTTTGCCGTCGACACGGGTGCATGTTGTAACCGTCATACCCTCCACGGCAGTTCGCGAACACACTCGTCGGGCGTCATTCATCGAACGGGTGGACAACGGGATGACTCCGCGTATTGTTTCTGAGCAGTTGGAGACTGCACATTCCAGATCATCTGCCGCACGGAATTCAGCCTCCCACTCGAGATCTCTATCCTCCAACAAGACCGTCACTCCTATTCCTCCGAGTCTATTACCCTCCGCACCTGCCTCACCTCCGACTCCGGCCCCTAGCCCGACCCCTCACCAGAGACCTCCAACGTGGCAGTCCTCAGACGAGGAAGATGATGCCTTTCTCCTGAATGCCAGGATACATTTTACTTCTTTGTCCAGCGCGAAGAAGCAGAGATTTTTGGAGGGTGTACTCGGTCTGTGCGATAGTCAGCTTCTCAGCTTTGTGTCAAGTTATGTCACTCCACGGTTAAGGAAAGATCCTTTTCAAGTCTTCCCAACCGAACTTTGCTTGAGGGTAAGCTTTCCGTTGACGATCGCTTGGCTTTCCCTGACAGGACTGACCTAAGCGCCCTTCATTACACTAGGTTCTCTCATTCATCGACGACCCGAAAACCTTGGCGAGAGCCTCTCAGGTTTCAAGACGTTGGCGTGACCTCCTGAGCGACGATATTACCTGGAAAAACCTCTGCGAGAAGCACGCTTATGCTTACCGGAGACCGTCGGGAGATTTCATTGACCCCTTCCACCTGCCTTCGGTTTCGAGCACACGCTCCCTGAACGGGCTGCAAAGAAAAGTCTCGAGTTTACATCCTTCAGATAATCCCTTCGATCTACGTCGCTCTGGCTCTGGGGACTGGCTCTCTTTAGCCTCACGGAAGCGACCCTTGTCATACAGATCTCATTTCAAGCAAAAATACATGGTGGAGTCGGCTTGGAACAAAGGGGCCGTTGCACCCAACGGCACATCACACCAGATCAAGGTGTCGTCACGAGCTTACATCTTACCTCTAAATATATCGTACTTGCGCTGGACAACGCCAAAATTCATGTATACGATACCGATGGGAACAATCAGAAAACCTTACAAGGTCATGTTATGGGTGTCTGGGCCATGGTACCGTGGGACGACGTTCTGGTGAGCGGCGGTTGCGACCGGGAGGTCAGAGTCTGGAACATGGCTACCGGGTAAGTGGTACCTGATGACGCTGTGGACGTCTCAGCTCAGCTTTTCTGGGAGGAAAATGGCTAACAGTGCCGCCAGAGCTGGCATTTACCTTTTACGGGGCCACACATCGACTGTGCGTTGCTTGAAGATGTCCGATAAGAATACGGCCATCTCTGGATCAAGAGATACCACGCTGCGCATATGGGATTTGACAACAGGCACCTGTCGAAATGTCCTGGTCGGGCACCAGGCAAGCGTTCGGTGTCTGGCCATCCACGGAGATATCATTGTTTCTGGAAGCTACGATACTACCGCTCGAATTTGGAGCATATCGGAAGGACGGTGTCAACGAACACTGTCGGGCCATTTCAGTCAAATCTACGCGATTGCCTTTGACGGCAGGCGAATCGCTACCGGCAGTCTCGACACCAGCGTCCGAATCTGGGATCCGCACTCTGGTCAGTGCCATGCTATTCTGCAAGGACATACATCCCTTGTCGGGCAATTGCAGATGCGAGGCGACACTCTGGTTACTGGCGGATCTGACGGATCGGTGCGCGTTTGGTCATTGACGAAGATGGCGCCTATCCATCGTCTGGCGGCTCATGACAATAGCGTGACCAGTCTTCAGTTCGATAGTTCGCGTATTGTCAGTGGTGGTAGCGATGGTCGCGTCAAGGTGTGGAGCTTACAAACAGGCCAGCTCCTCAGAGAGTTGTCCACGCCTGCCGAGTCGGTTTGGAGAGTTGCATTTGAAGACGAAAAGGCGGTGATCCTGGCTAACCGGTCGGGTCGGACTGTTATGGAGGTGAGTGGCCCCACTAGAACCTCAGTACACATGTCTAACTTGATATAATTCATAGGTCTGGACATTCTCCCCTCCAGAAGAAGATGATGATGGTGCTGTTGTGGAAAGTACCGCCAGCACTCCCGGATTACGCCCACGCCAACAAAGCAGTCAAGATGACCTCTCCTTGAATTGCTCGTCTCGTCCTTCTCGACACCGAACGCTCTTTTCAGATCCACCTCCGACCATACCCTTGAACAATAGCGACGACGACCACCTTATGCCGGATGCCCCTGCTTCGTGATTATCCTCCTGCCGTACTACTCGAGGCTCATTAAGTTCATCACGCCTCTTATTCACCTCTATTCCGTACACTATTTGATTCATTGAGAAGAGCATTGGACAATGTGCAATTTAAGTCTAATCTCACCGGTCGTCGATGATCGTCTGTCACGCAGCGTGGTGGGCCACATTCTCGAGATCAGCTAACTTTTTGGCATCAAACCTTTTGCATAGATATTGGGTGTTGGACTGTCTTTTCGTTTCCATTCTTGTCATCCATATCAACTGGGAGTCAGCGGGTTTTGAATGGGAGTTAGCGGGTTTTGATACAGTACCTTCGACGTGGTTTAATTTTTCCTCGCCGGTTCGATGATACCCACCTCGGGAGGCGATGTATTTGGCATCTAGGAAATTTGGTTTCCATCTTGTGACGAGAAGTGGTCTCATGGTCGCGGTCTTCGTTGTCATGTTGTTACTGCTTCCAGCATATATACTTGCATATCAATAGGCATTATAGAACCAAGCACAGTTCCTCTCATTTGATCCGCCGCACGCTGGCTATCTTTTTCGTAAATAGCGGGAAATTGGCTACGAGCTGAGACACTGTTGAATCCCTAAACTCTGTTGGCCATGGATTAATGTGCCTTTTACGTGACTGGGGATGGGCAGTTATCCGAGGCAATGACTAATACACGATCCCATGCATGTCCCTGTCAGCCGGCAGCATCCTCCGTCCAATCTTCCACGATTATCCATGAAACAAAGCAGGGGAGTTCCTATCAAGATTCTGTCTTGATGTCTTATTGTATTCATCTCTTGTCGTAGTTTCAGAAAGGAGCGCAGATACAAGGAACCTACAGACGGCCGTCATCTTACTGGTCACACCATCAATCATGTCCAGGCGGCAGGCAGACGAATTCAGTACATCTGCATCTTGGATTTGAAGCCACAACCACAATTAGATTCACGACACATCATATCTTATCTATTCAGGCTTTCTGTCGGATCCGTAACTCTACAAGTGATGTAAATATGGTATATGGAGGAAGACCGAGCACAGGTTGCTATCTTTGCCTTAAACGAAAAGTGCGGGTAAGTTAAATCACATCGTTTTCTATCCATCATGAGCTAATGACACCGAAGTGCGATGAGGCGCTGCCAGAGTGTCGGAATTGCGTCGTCTATGGCCGGCCATGTCCGGGTTATCGGCCGGATACCATTTTCAGGGACGAGACGCAGAAGGTGCAGCGCATGGTGAAGAAAAACCGGTCTGACAAGTCGACTTCTAGCGGCGCGGGAAAGATCCAGGCTACAACGCCGTGTACGGCTGAAGCTCCGGAACAGAAATGTTCTCCTGTATTGGTTCGTCAGATCGCCGACTCGACGTGGGAAGAGCGGGCGATTTGCTTCTTCTTCGACCAGTACACTTGCTCGAATGAGACGGGCGAGTGTATCAGCCACCTGGGGTTCTTGCCGTCGCTGTACGCTCTGTGCCGGGATGCCGGGGAGAAGGAATGCTCGGCATCGTCGTCGTCACTGCGGCTGGCCGTGGACGCGACGGCTCTTGTTACGCTGAGCAATGAGATCAGGGAGTCCTCGTTGATTGTCAAGGCGCGGTATCTGTACGGTATGGCTCTGCAGCGCCTGCGGCAGGCGCTGGAATCGCGGACGCAAGCTGTCCGGGACGAGACGTTGGCGTCGGTGGTTCTACTTTCCATATTTGAAGATATTACTGGGGAGCGCAATGGACTTGCGAGTTCGCATACGGTGGGGTTGGAGATGCTGATGAAACTGAGGGGCATGAGTCAGTTCGGCCACGCGCAGGGTCGAGATCTGTTCAACTTTGCGTATACGCATACGGTATGTCTTTGTCTTTGTTTAGGTATCTGCGAGTAGGGACTGACAGGCATCAGCATACCGAGTTCTTGGCCTTGGGCGACAAGCCTAGATTCAAGACTGATTGGATTGCTGGACTCTTGGACAGTGCGGATCCCGTGCACCGGCTGATGCTCCTCGCATCGAAAGTTAGCCAGATCTTCCTCGAGAGTTCCTCCTTGCAGGCCTCGGCCGGAGCGGAGGATGTGGGCAGGCTGGTCTCGTGCATGGAAGACGCCAAATTGGTGGATTTGGATTTCGCAGCGTGGAGTCAGGGTCTGCCTGATAACTGGCTGCCCCTCATTGTCTACTCGCAGACACACGAGTCTTTGATGACCTATCAGCAGATATCGATCGCAGCGGTATGGAACTACTACCGTGCTGTTCGCATCATTCTACTCAAAGTCATACTTCAGCTCCGCGACCTTCTTGCATCCGTTGTTGGCGAATTCGGAGTGTACAGTGAGCTTCTTCAAGAGGAGCCGATGATTTTGGAGTCGATCCAGGAAATGATCACGGACGTATGCCGGAGCATCCCTTTTGCCTTTGGCCATGTCGATGCGATGGGCAATCCAGTCCCGACCTCGTTGGAAGGGAAGCTGCACATTCGTGCTTTCCAGGGGTACAGTATGGTATGGCCCTTGTGGTATATCTCGTCGTGTGGCCTGGCAACTCCAGAACAGAGCCACCAGGTCAGAACCGTTCTGGCCCGGGTAGGGTCTACACTGGGTATCAAACTGGCATTGATACTAGCTGGGGAGGGGGAGGCCGATTATATAGCCGCTGCTGCCCAAGGCGACACTATCGTCCGTGATGCAACTGTGGTATAGCCATTGCTGTACTACTGTACCACTTACTAGTTGCTGGTCATTAGTGGGAGCAACGCAGCACATAGTCTTCCTATCAGTTGTATATAAATTACTCTTGTATATGATTCTTACTATGCATGCATAACTTGCAAGGGTAATATTCATCGCTTATCCCTGGTACCTTAGTAGAGAGGTACAGAGCAGCAGTGAGTGGCATAATGACGTCATTATATGGATGTTCCTGAAGCCATCTGAACGCTGCACTTCGAAGATCATTTAGAACAGTTACAAGTTTCCTACAGAATGACTGGTAGTTAAGAGCAAATAATAATAAGAATAATATGTGCATCAGCAACTCGGACACCAAACACAAAGAAAGATACCAGTAGGACTCCATAAGCAGACGCACGAATGCTATGCCGCATCACCATGTCGTGGACAAGCAACATGCCATGCCGGTTAGCCGTTCGCATTATCGCTTATCATCACATTTTTATAGGAAAAAAGCGGAGAACTCAGGACTACAGTAACATCCCACTGGCTGATTCAGTTATCCGTATACCTTGATTGAGAAATTCAAGTGGCTTTTCGGATCGAGTTGGAGATCTCGGGTCTGGCTAGGAACTGGGTCTCCGTCCTCTGACGACATCGGTCTTTGGGGTATAGATAAGTTCTTTTCTGGCCGTGTTGCTTTCTTCTGTAAGGTAGACTAATTTTATTGACTCTGCTTTTGCGTATATCTCCTTTTTGTTCTTTTTTTTCAAAGGCGCATTGAATTGTCTGATTTCTGCATCTTTCATTATATACATCGTAGAGAACTCGACGCAACATAATGACCTCGAAAGAGCGGCAGCTTCCATTCGGGAAGATCGAGCCCAATTCATCGAAATACTTTCTGAGTTGTACTCTGGGTGGAATTGTCGGTAAGTGTTGCATCCAAGCTACATTTATGCTGGAATTATGCTGACGCAGTGGTTTTCATATTTGAAGCTTGTGGTAAGTGGTAGTGGATAGGAATTCTTGCTGGGATTCTCCCGCTGATAATATAATATATTCGATCAGGACCTACGCATACAGCAGTTACACCCCTTGACCTGGTCAAATGTCGTCGCCAGGTAGACCCCAGCATCTACACCTCCAATCTCTCCGCATGGCGCCAGATCTTTTCCAAGGAAGGCCTACGCGGGGTCTTCTTCGGCTGGTCTCCTACCTTCGTCGGATACTCGTTCCAGGGGGCCGGCAAATACGGTCTCTATGAGTACTTCAAGTACCTGTACGGGGACCGCTTATTCCCCAACATGAACCGCACGGTGGTGTTCCTAGGCGCGAGCGCATCAGCCGAGTTCTTCGCCGACATGGCCCTCTGCCCGTTCGAAGCGATTAAGGTGCGCATGCAGACGACTCTGCCGCCGTATGCGCATAACTTGCGCGAGGGATGGAGCAAAGTCGTGGCCAAGGAAGGGTTCGGGGGTCTGTACAAGGGGCTGTACCCGCTCTGGGCGCGGCAGATCCCCTACACCATGACCAAGTTTGCTACCTTTGAGGAGAGCGTGAACATGATCTACCGGACGCTGGGGAGGCCCAAGGAGAGCTTCAATACGCTGCAACAGACGGGCGTTAGTTTTCTGGGAGGCTATATTGCCGGTGTCTTTTGCGCTATCGTTAGTCATCCTGCGGATGTCATGGTTAGCAAGTTGAACGCCGACCGGAATGGTAAGTGTGCATGCATTCTCGGTCAGCGTTCTGGTGTCGTCCTGCTAACGGCCTTGCAGCTGGCGAGTCGGCAATGGCGGCCGTGTCGCGGATTTACGGCAAGATCGGATTCTCGGGCCTGTGGAACGGACTGCCAGTTCGAATCGTGATGCTTGGTACATTGACCGGTTTCCAGTGGCTAATGTAAGTCGTGCTGTTGTCTATTGTCCTGATGGTGCCTGTTCGCTGACATCGGAGACAGCTATGATTCTTTCAAGGTGTTCCTAGGACTCCCGACCACTGGTGGTCATTAAGGTGTTTAGGCGCGCTTATGACAGGCTGTTTGGCGTTATCGCATATGTAGTTAGATACACTCTAGAGGAAGGACTTGGAATCATTATTCCTCTGTTGCTTTACACAAGTAGATTGACCGCCCTTGATAACCACCCGGCAGAATAATAGCCGCGAATCCTCCATTGTCGGAGCAGCGTCCTCGATGGCGATGTCTGGCATTGGCACAAAAAGTCTTCAGTTTCATTCATTACCTTGGTTTTATATAATATAGTCTATTTTCTTTGCAGAGAAAGCATTGACTCAGTGACAGTCCACGTGCCCGTTGCTGATATCCACCCAATCATCGTGAAAGGGATCGAATCATCACTTTCGCATCTCAAAGACAATAAGATCGGCTTCTCTTTCTTCCTGCAGCTTCAACCCTTCCAACGTCAACAATAGCCGAATCGACCATTGACAATTGCCATTTGGAGCGTTCATCCAACACCTCGTTATAAACTCTTATCAACCTCCACAACCTTCATCCTCCGTTCTCAATCCTCGGCAAACCTCTAATTTTCCCTCTCAACCTCACTCTCATAAACCGACCTCAGAACAAGCAGCAAGAGTACGAAAGAAAACCACCACGATGGACACATCCACCAAGCCCTCCTCATCACTACCCTCCTCGAACCCCCCCAGCGTCGAAGGCGCCTACAAACGCAAATGCATCGCCCTAAAAAAACGCTTAAACGAGATTGAGGCCGAGAACGAGATGATGCGCATGCGCAACAAGCGCGGATGGCAATACATCCAGAAAATGCGACTGGAGTCCTGTATCCTGCTCGAGCGCCTGGCCAAGGTCACCGGCATGGCCGAGGAGGCCAAGGCGGGCGTGAACCCCGAGCTGCGCGCCCGCGCGGCGGCCATGATGAGTAGCGCCGGCGCTCTGAATGGGTTTCCCGGGGCGGTGGGCGCGGGCGTTGCGGCTGGTAGTGGTAGCAACGGGGCTGCGTATGTGGAGGATGAGACGGAGGGGAGCTCGGACGAGCAGCCTCCTACGGTGAGTTTTGGCTCTTTGGCTGCTGTTTGAGCTTTCCGGTGTGAGGCCCTGGTTCTGACAGAGATGAGATGAACAGCCTCAGGAACGCCCGTTGCGGGTGAAGCGTTCTCGAAAGTCGAATATTGGCGATGTAGGACTGGATGATGAACCGTCGACCAGCGCCCCGCCTGAAGGTTCGACTGCTGGCTCAGCGGGCTTGCCGCGACTTGCGCCCGCCCCGACACAGGAGGAGATGACCTCCACGTTTCGCATTCGCACAGGCAGCAATGGTGCCATACACGAAGGAGAGAACAGCCATGCTACTAGCGAGCGTGGCAGTCAAGCTCCGGAGTCTGGGGCTGCAGATAGGGCAAAGGAGCTCTCGACGACACCGATGGATGTGGACAAGGCGCCGAAAGAGGAGAGCCAGGGATGATGAGAGCCTTTTTTATTTTATTTCCTTTTCTTTCTTTCTTCGTTCTTCGCCTCTTCTAGATTAATCTCCCTTTTCTTCTGTTTTATTTCACATGCAGCTATTCCCATATCGAAGGAGGGCTTATTCTAGATTGTTTCCTCACAACAGGATGTTGGCGCTTGCTGTAGCGCTTATGATCAGAGCCTGGATGGCTTTCCCTATGTACTTGCAAATCAAACAAGGAGGTGCCTGGGCTCCGCAGCTAGACACGCATATGGAAGATAGTCTGGCCACAAGGGCTCACCTCGCTCTCGAACTTCTCCCAGGCTTACTCCAGCGAGCACCTTGCGTGCAAATTTGGTAGCAACACAATGCACGGAAACGATGCTTCATCATGGACGTCCCAGAGGACATGTTCAATATTAACAGACTGTCTAGTTGTACATACAGAGATGGTTGCCTCGATATAGGCAAAGAAGGACGCAAGGGTCCCGAACGAAGATGACCAACTCCAGTCCCAGTCCCGAACTCCCGAGGCAAAGACTTCCGATGCTAAATGTGGGCCGCAACTGATGCAGTGAGCTTATGTAGATTGAGTGCAAAATGAATAATGAGTCGCGCCACAATGTATAGATCAGTGACAGGTCAGTGGTCTGAAGCGCCGCTTAAAAGATTAGGAATACTGTCGAGGAACACAAGATGAGCGACTAATCAACTCCTGCGTACAAGTCGACCACGATGTTAATGGCTGCAACTAGGATTTCCGCCGCGATCAAGATGATGACTGTAGTTTGTGAGCCAAACAGGAATCGACACGACGGCTGGAAGTAAGGGACTTACCGATCCATTCAAGATACTCACCGTGGCGGTGAGTCAACTGATCCTTCAGGACAGCCAGAAGATCCGCAATGACGTCCAGTCGCTCTGTGAGAAGACTGACTCGTTGGTCCATCTCGAGATAGCTTCGGACAGCCTGGTAGACCGGCTCCAGCTGCGGCTCTGCCCACATCAGTTCCGGACTGTCGAGGACAGAGCCTTGTAAATGAATGTTTATTCGTAAGATGAACAGTTCTCCAATCTGCATGTTGATTTGTCTCCGCGTCATGTTGACACTGCCGGTTTGGGCAATTTGAGCCGGTAGTGGTGCGGTATTCGAGATGGTCTCCGAGACTAGATCCTCGAAGAGAGATGTTTTGACTGATTGAGACAATGCATGTGAGATGGCAAGTTTGATCATATGGTTTCGAGGATCACGGAGCGAGATAAAGTCGTTGTATATCCGTGCCTGGTACTCGCGAGCATAGTAGAAGTTGAAATTCTCAACCTGCGTATCTTCGGGACTCAGGATTGAGTTTGCAAATTTGGAAATGTCGGATAGGAATCGTGATTCTTGAGCGGGTGACATGCCCCATATGACAACTGTCCCGTAATCGAAAAGGAAGACCTCCGGGGTGTGGATGGTAGTATCAAAGTCTGGCGTCTCGTCTGTCCGCTGTACTGCTACAGAGCTCTCGGTATGAGCGTCATGATGCGATTGGCCTTGCGATTCTCGCAGGTCAATGAGGTCTTCTCTGCGCGATTTCGCATTGTCTTCGACTTCAACCGCACTGTCCGAATACCTGCGCTCGCCAGACGGCCGATCGGGACTCGACGAGATAGGATGTAGCCCCAGCGCATTGTCCGACAAATTCCTAGGCGCCTTTTGTTTATCCTCATATAAGTAATCGTAGGGAGAGTAAACGCATTCGTCATATAGCTTCGGGTTGGCTCCGCGGGTCTTTGATCGTGCTTTGAGAAACTTGATGACGCCTTCGAGTCTGTACGAATTGGCGGTACAGTATGCCGTTACTCGTGGAAGTCTATCCCTGTCTGCTTTTCCCAATCTCGCAGCGTGACTTCTGGCAGTCGGTTCTTTGATCCGAGTGATTTGCGAATACACATCTCGCGGGAACTCGTCGTCCGTAATGTCCTCTTCGGCAGCTGTCACAGGATCCGGAAGCAGTTTTAATTTCTGTGCATTCTTCGTCGTTCGCTGGGGTCCGACCTTAGGTGCTGGTGGCATCGAAGGCACTGCCGTGCTGTAGGGAGCTCCATGGCTATTGCGGCGACGGAGCTTGCTGTTCAGGGCAGAAAGTCCGGTCGGTCTCGATTGGTTGGCCGGTGCGTTGGGAACAGACGATGCACCAGAGCTCAATGGCTTATAAGTGGGATCTACAGCGGCAGTAGCATCATGGTATGTACTGACTGTGGCCAGTGGGTTGAATGTCACTGTCCGCGGCGGACGGCTTCCTCGTTGCTGTGACGTATTGGAGGATGCTGGCTGCTGTTGGTATTGGGGGAGTAACGGGGTTGTCTCTGCTGTCGAAGTCATCCTGTTTCTTGTTAAATAAAACAATCAAGAGACGTCTGTCATGAAAAGACAGATCAATGTCTGGTAAAAAGAAATAAAAGAGGAGAAATGGCCTCTGTGGGCTAGCCGCAGAGATGAAAGCCAAGTCCAAAAAGTCCAAGCGGGCGGATCGCAGAAAGCTCGAAGCTTTGCACGTGCTCCCGCCAGACGCTGCCATCAGCCAGTTTTCGCCTAAGGTACTGCTTACATTGGAAAATGAATATACTTATTACTGCTATAGTGGTTCATATAACGCATTTACTGCTTCATTATACACAATTTTATTCGGGTATCCAACGATCCAACCATCGAGCTACTTTCCAGCATCTACCGGACAAAATGAGAGTCCATTCTCATGTTGTACAATGCTGGAGCCGCGACCTTGAACTGGGTGTTTACGGCAACCATCAAGCAATTGTACAGCTAGAGCTTTCAGAGGCGATTCATCGCCCTGTCCGGCGATGCTTAAGCCTTATAGACCTTAATGAAAGTGGTAAATACCGCGGACTTCAAGCGGGGTCAGCTCCAGCTCTGTCGCCTGTCGACAACGGCGCAAGCCACTCAATAGCCCGTAGCTGATGTATGATGTATAATGACGAGCAAATGCCAGTCATTATTCCAAGCCGATCTCAACCTGCATCAATACGCCATAAACACCTTGTCGCCGGGTTCAAAAATACGCAGAACCCGATAGACTAGACTTCTTATCTGCGAACAAACCCTGAAGGGCCACCTGCGGTTCTTCTAAGACCATTGACAGTGGCGGTACTGCGAGCTCTGTTGAGCCAATTCTGCTTGGCATTTCGTCCAGTCTTTGAGGCTTTGGGCGGCAGGGTTGTCTTGGCCTTCTTGGTGGGGTTCTCATCTAACACGCGGATTGTAACATCGCCCAGCTTGACATCCTTGGGGCGTTTCTCCGTAGCATCGAGAAATTTCAACTTGTTTGGCTTCTTATGCGAAATATTAAGCTCCTCGAAGGGGGGCGTTGGAGGTCTGGCGACAGAAGCTGCATTGAGAATCTCATCCGGCAGGAGAGCTGGGAGGGCTGATCGGCGGGCATCTTGTGTGGTACTACCTCGCAGTGTCTCCGTGCTTTCTGAAAGCTGGTCATCAGCAGAACCGGCTGCTAATTTGGTCACCTCCTTTTGTTTCGCTTGCTGTTTGCGGAGTTCATCCAGTTGTTTTCTCTTCTCCTTCCTCAGCTGTTCCTCACTGTCGATTCGAGTTAGAGATAAAGTATTTTTTGAGAGGTAGTGGAGATACTAACATTTGTCTGGCTCGTTCTTGCTTTTTAGCTTCCAGTCTGATCTTGGAAATCTGAGCTGAATTGTCAATCGCTTCAGGAGCTTCGTCATCATCACTGCTGTCTTCATTGTCCTGGTCCTTCTGCTGAGGCTCTGGCGCCTCAGTCTCCATCTCCACCGGCAGTTCAGGCTCTTCGCTGTCGAATCTGAAGTGTTTCGTCTTAGAAGCAGGCGCCTGTGCCTCTTCTCGTTTCGAATCTGACTCAACCATGGCGCTCTCGGTCGACAATTCCCTCTCCGGCTCTGCAGCAGCCTCTAGACTGCTTCTCTTTCTCCGTTTGTTGTGCTGTGATTCGGGCTTTCCGGCGCTTGTAGATTCGGGCTTGCGCTTCCCTTTTGCGGAGGTCGAGACGCCTTTGTTATCGCCAGAAGTTGTCGACAATGTCTCGAGATTCCTCCTTCTCGTTGCCGTCACCATTTTTGCTTCACGGCCAATTGGACTTGTTGATGTTGTCGAGGTTGTATTGCTGCTATCGAGTTTGTATTCGTCGACTTCTTGCCGTGCAAATAAACCTTTTGCTGCTGTGACAATGTGAGAAAACATAGAGAATCAACCGATCCCACTATGAATTCTGAACAATTGAAAATTGTGAGACGTTAATTTTGCGCGCTCGGCGACGAGTAGATAAGCAGCTTGAAGAAATTCAACTGATAAAATCTATCGGTGCAACTTTGATCCGAAGGCGGGACTCAGGTGCCAAGAATTCCATCGTCTGGGTTTCGACTTTCCACTCACCAGACACTGCCAGAGGAAGTAATGTGAAGCACTGCAACAGATGAGCAAGATTTGGGAAACCCGGCACCGATATTAGGTAGTAATGCGGTTTGCTTTTAACTCCCAGAAGTCTAGAAAGGACTCAAAATTCACTTGAACAGGTATCTTTTATCATACAACCAACTCCGCCTGTAAATATAAGCATCAAACCCCAGGATATATAGCTGCAAAACTCCATAACACCTTCTCCAGCCCATTAGATCCAACAAGAAGGCAGCGATAATAGCCAGTCCCGGATCTAAGTCTCTCTTATCATTGAGCAGCAACCATTTGATTGCGCTCCATGAGTTCCTCCTGCGCCCCCAGGAAGTCATCCTCACCTATATCACTGACTTCATCCCAGAACTTGCCATGTTCGTCACCATCATCCCCACTGACTGTCCACATACTCTCGCGCAGCCTTTTGTTCCGTTCGCGGTCTTCTTCAATCCGTTGCTCGATCTGCCTCTTGTCCACGCGCATCCCACTCGGCCTGGAGCCTCGCGGGGTCCCACCTTTCGCTTTCGAACCATTATCGACCTCCTCCTCGGCATCCAAGTCGAGATGTGCCACCTGGGCCTCCCGTTCCTTGAGCCCGGCGTCGATCTCAGCTACCGTTTCGGCTGAGAGAATAGCTTTACTCTGGAGACCGTTGAGAACACGCCGAACGTGCTTAATGTTCGCAGCTCCTGATCCGTCCGGTGGTACGACGGCATCAACGACGCGTAGAATATCCCTTTGCATCATCCGGACATAGGGTGTATGGTTTTCCTTGGTGGCCATCTCGCAGAATTGCTCGATGAAGTACATGATGTTGGCTCGGTTATTCATGTTATTCTAGAAAGAATCGTGTCAGAAGTTACAGTAGTCTCCTGCACGGCAGCAGAGACATACGTACCCTTTCAAGTTGTTCCAGGATACAGGAATGGAGATCCTCATCCATGTCGCGGTATTTCAACGCATAATGCGCTGCCTTCTGCGACGAGGTCACAGAGGCATTAAGATGCTGTAGCTGCGCAGTGAAGCGCATGCGGACCTCAAAGGGATCCGCCATCATGGTTGCGGTTCTGGAGATTTCAGAAAGCTCAACTAGTCCGATTGCCTCGAAAAAGTAATCAGTCTGCGATAAGAGATAGCTGAAAGCAAGATCTTCGGTTGCAGGCGGTGGTCTTGTTCTGCCGGCAGAAAATGTGGGGTGATCGTCACAGGATCTGCGATGTAGAGCAGCATTACCAGCGGCTCCCCCAAGACAAGACTACGTATCATAAGGTCACATGGATGAAAGTGTTCTACTGAAGATATATTGAAGAAATTGAGCGACCAAGCACCCATTAATCGCGTCACATTCCAAAAGAAAGTAAATATCCAGAAATCCTCCTCTACAAGGGTATATATTTCGCTAAGTCCACGTCCACGTCCACATCGCAAATATCAAAGTGAAGGACGTCTATCCAGGGAACTGGCAAAACTTGTTCCGTCATCACTTTCAAGAAGACCAACCCCCTCGGCCATATTTCTTTGCCTCAGTGAATCTGTGTCTAGGCCTTTATCCCTGCGGGATTCTGCACCATCAATGATAGACCAAACGTCCTTCTTAGTGAGTAGGCCTTGGAGGACACCCTTGTTTGCAAAGAGGACATAGCGGAGGCCCAATCTCTGGAACATGCGTCGTACTATCAAGAAAGTCGTCCCGCCGTTAAGTGTAATAGGCGTTTGGTCCATCCAGGGCCGGAGATCGAGGGTTTCAGTAGGGTCTGCAAACGGCTGATGGGCGAAGAAGACCTGTGTCGAGCCCGGCAAGTCACGATCCGCATGAGATGAGGAATATTTCAATGCATAAGAAAGTTCGTTGCGTGAGATATAGCCCAGAAGAAGAGGATTCGACGAATCGGTCACGACAGGGAATCCGCGATATGAGGTTGCCATGAGAAGGTTGCGGAGACTATCAATAGTATGTCCGTTGGCAACGATGACCGTGAGGTCCTCGACCCTTGTCATGACTCTATGAGCAGGTAAATCGGGGGAAGTAGTGTCGTCACGATGGTCAAGGAAGGGATATTCCTTGAGATGGATCCAAGACTCGTAGATACCACGTTTCCCGAATATATCACCGCACCATTTGGACAACATGACTGCAATCATGATAGGAATGACATATGTCAAGGCACCTGTGAGCTCGAACATGATCACAACAATTGACACGGTCATCCGTGTTGCGCCACCTAAAGCTGAAGCTGCTCCGACGATTGCATATATTCCCGGTGTCACACAAGGAACATCTGGCTCGCAGCTGTTGAAGAAGAAAAAATTTGGATAGGCATTTTGCCACATCTTGAACATCGTTCCAAATGCACGGCCGTACAAGGCGCCAATGGCAACGGAAGGAAGAATGATACCGGCAGGTATGTCCAACCCAAACGTAAATGAGGCGAGAAAGAAGCCAAGAAGTGCGGCCATAAGCAGAAGGGTTATTGTACCAGCAGATGCAGCACCAGTCTTGCAAAGACCGAACAGATCATCGGATCCCGTGCCACATTCGGCAAACAGTGAGTGCACAAGCTCGGAGTTTTGAGCTCTCATGAAGATATTTGGAAAGTTGATCAGAGCAGATAGAAGAGCAATGACCGAAACTTCTAATATCGGGCGAGACCAAGTCCGGGATCGCCGCCATTTCGCGACTTTCATGTTCAAGCGGATGAGAAATGCTCCGTAGAGACCACCAAGGATACCTAGAAGGATGAAAGGGATCATTTCGAAGCGATGCCATCCACGTGTATACTTAACTTCGTAGAGCACAATGTTCCCTGTTCGAAAAGGGTTAAGCGCTTGAAGAGTCACAGCAGCAACCATTGCACAGACAAAACTCTGCCACATGGTTTTATCGGGAAAGTAATACGACAATTGCTATCCTTCGTTAGATGATGCGACTATGGGAGTGTAGATCTGAGAGGCATACCTCGAGACTGAATAGAACACCTCCAATGGGTGCACCGAACGCGACAGATATTCCTGCAGCTGCGGCTGCGGAAAGCACTTCACGTTTTCTCGCTATATCACTTAGTATGAGCCGCTGAATGCCAGCTTGACCACATACCTTCATTATGGTTCAAACTATCGAAGAACTTCATCATGACGTTGGCACAACAGCACGCAACATGCACCAGAGGACCTTCTTTACCTAGCCACATCCCTGAAGCGACTGCTAGACACTTTTCCTCAATGAGCATTCAAGGAGCTGCACACGGAGAATGCAGGGAATACCTACTAAGCCTAGGGATTTGATTGCGAGCGTCCATGGTCCCATAAAATGTCTGATGACAAAGCCACCAAGGACTGTCTTAATTTCTGGAATACCGCTGTGTCTTGCATAGATTGCGTATGTTCTGACCAGAAAGCTCGCGCAGACAGCGAAGACCACCTACCAATTGTCAGTAAGTCTCTCAGAATAAACGGGAAAGGAGTCATTTTATTACAGAGTAAAGGACGTAGAATATATATTCTACCGTATAGCCTCCGCTGGAAGAACGAACTCCGAGAGCTTTACGCCACGGTGTCCAATCCAAGCACTCAGATATGTCTGATGGATATGCGCGTCAGTTGCAGAAGAGCACTGCGCAGAACGAGCACCTTACCGTCATGGCCCCAGCAACAAAAACTCCGATTCAGATAGAACTTGCCCCCTCCTGGTCCATTCTTGCAATAGCCCGTTTTCAAATCTCCTAGCCAATCGCTTGTGATGTCGATGCATGCCGCAATAATACCAACGAGAACGCCTGTCGATATTAAGACCACCCATACGTTACTGGCCTCCAATAGCCTCCGGGCATATCCTGAAAGACCCGGCGCGCTCGAGTACAGCAGCCTCTTCCTTTGCCGCTCTTTTGTATATTCAAAGATCCAATCGATGGCTGTAAGATCGTCGTAGCCTACTCGACGCCCTGGGCCTTCCACATACCAGTCCAAGAACCCTCCGTCTTTTGGCGCGTTCAGGTTTCCGTTCCCATTTCGCGCTCTGAGCTGGCTCAAGGACGAATCAACCTCCGGCGTCTGCTCATTTGTTGTGTTCGTCGCCCGGAGAGGGATTGTAGATTCGGGTTCGTCACTGAAAAACAGGCGCGAAAAACTGAACTTCGCAGGTTGTTTTTGCTTGCGCTTGAAAGAAATTCTACAAATCGGGTCAGTCAGAATATGCGCAGGGTTGAAGAGGCCTAAGACTCACGGTTCAGTTAGGCCTCCAGCCAGCGATTCATTTGGATTCTGGTGGGTATCGTTATCTGAGTTCGACGACCGGTCGTAAACATGCGCAGATGAAGACGGTCTTCCGGCTTCTGACCCTGAAATCGTTGTTGACATGACGGATCACGGAAGCATATCATGTCAACATCGCAGCTGTACCACTGCCCCTATCAGGAATTGAGCAATCAGAATCTCGGGTCGCGATCAAACAAGTCCTCGATATCGGAGATGTGGCGCAGACTCCGCAAGGCCAAAGGCGGTCAACACAGCTTCGGAGAGATAACTACGGAGTAATCGAGGAAAACAAAAATTTTGAGCTTTGATTACAAGCTTTATACCCAACCTACCAGACCACTGAAAAACGAGCAACCTTTAGGACACCATCACAAGTATTTAATTCTGCCGCATGCTTTCTGGTTGTTTAGGGTAGAAATAAAAGGCCATGAGTGATGGTTGTCACTGCTAGAGACCTCAGGCTGCGAGACTATTACAATTGCCAAGTACTCGACTCGACACCGCCTACTTTTCATGGACAAGCGTTTTCTACCACCAGGGCAGGCGGTGAAAAAGACGGCCATTTTCTTCCGTAAAATAATATCGTGGTACTCCAAATTTTTTGTCCATTCGTTCCATATCACTGAAGTTCCTCTGGCGGCAGGGTCAATAATGAATGAAAAACCTGCCTATGAGAGGCTTCTTAGTGAGTCCCAGATCCTTGAGCAGCTTCCGAATGAGCTTGCGGAACTCATTCGTACTGCTTCTGGGACTCAGTTCCTGAATGCGCTTGCGGTTAGCGCATTGAGGTCAAAATGCACAGAAAGTCTTTTCAGCATATACGAACCGATATTTGTTGATCTGGCAGCGCGATGGCTCTCGTCAGATCTTCATGTCGATAATTCCCAAATAATTTCCGCCTTTGCACGTATCTTACCGTTCGCGCCATATCTGCGATCTTTTGCCAGTCAATATGCCACCTCGTGGGCTGGACCTCTTTCGGCTTTGGCTGTATCGAAAGAACAAAGTACCTTTCAACTGGAAGATGCTACCCTCCGCACGCTACTCCTCGCCATATTCCGACTTATGTCCTATGACCTCGAGGTCTTTTCGACCACTGTATCGCCCTCGCAACTCCAGGCCCTATTCCAACATCGAGACCAGGCTATCAGATACCTAGCAGTACGGTGTTTTGCCTTATACATGCGTGCAGCCGATGCTGCTACAGAGAGAATGGTTGGGGCCTATCTCACAGATGGTCCTATTGAAGGACCGTGGGAAGACATTGTGATCGATTATCGTTGTCTTGGTCTGTGGGAAGAGCGTCGGTGGAAGACCCTCGAGCAGCAGATTGAGCAAGTGAGGTCGATTCGACAAATGTCGGACAGTTTTCTACTTGCCGAACCGTTGCGAGAATACTTTACTGCGCGAACAGCTGAGGTCTGTGGCGTGTTGATTCCACGACTGCATGAATCACCAAGTTCAACCTCCTCCTCCATTGTGAAAACCCCAACCGCCGTGGGCAATCTACGGAAGATTGCGAAAGCATTGCTAGCGCCTGAGCCCATCCTACTTGTTGGGCTACCAAACTCAGGCAAGACAACTTTGGTCAGCGACGTCGCTGCGACAATGGGACAGCTAGAGTCTATGGTTACCCTTCATCTGAACGAACAAACAGACGCAAAGAGTCTCCTCGGAATGTACTCAACATCCCCGGCTACAGGTTCCTTTGCTTGGCAGCCCGGTGTCTTGACCAAGGCTGCAAGGGAAGGTCGCTGGATTTTGATCGAGGATCTTGATCGTGCTCCATCTGAAGTCATCGGTCTCATATTGCCCATCATTGAGAAGGGCGAGTTGACCATAGCTAGTCGAAA